AAAAAAAAAAAAGTGTTCTTACAATAGTCACTTTCACCTCAATAAAATCTAAACATCAAATTGACTGATCTAAATTAAAAATTGCTTCCCTATTTATATGGCTTGTGTATCAACTGAATTTGGATGCTTACTCAGCTATTATGGGTTGTGTTTGCTGTCTTCTTAGTCTTTGGTATCTAATTAATAAAATTATGCTGAGAGAAAAATCATTTCAACTGATGATGTCTCAGGAAGGCAGGAAAAAAAGTCAAACAAAACTTAGACTGTAATTAGTTTTTTTTTGCTGAGAAAGATTCGCCGTGAGCTAACATCTGTGCCAATCTTCCTCTATTTTGTATGTGGGTTGCCGCCTAGTGGTGTAGGTCCGTGCCCAGGAACTGAACCCAGGCCGCCGAAGCAGAGTGCACCAAACTTAACCACTAGGCCACAGGGTCGGCCCCCTAGAAAATTTTTTTAAAGTGTTTCCTTGTTCAGAACTTGTCATCTTCATCTACTTCTTAAAAATTAGTGGAGCCAATAATCTTTATGCAGTATCTTAAAGGATAATTAAGACACAAACCTAACACTTGCACACAAAGCCACAGACATAAAATGGCAAGAAATGAAGACTCATGTAGTGAGATAGAATTTGCTAAACAGGATGAAATAAATGTGTGAACTGAACACCAGACAAAACTTCACCATGAATGACTGCTAATAATAGATCATGGAGTAGAACATTATGTTCAAAGAAGAAAATCATTCCTATACAGAAACTGCTACACATAAACTAAGTGAAGGGAAAATTCTAGTCTTAATCTTTTAGAAAAAGGACAGCTGGTTTTCATCCATTTCCAATATCTGAAACACACAAATATACATGGGATAACCCCAATATCTAATAAACTGATTTAGTTTGTTACAAACTGAATTAGTTAATAGACTCAATAATTATATTTACTGCCCTCAGCCTTGTTGCAATGCTATTATATATGTCTATTCTACACTTATTCTTTATCGTCAGTTTTCTCACTATTAATACTACTGGACTACTTCATCCACTCTTAGAAAATAGAACACTACATGTCAAAGGAAAACACCAGTTGGAGACTTTCATTCAATAGACAGCAGGTGAGGCCCACTATAAACTCCACTTATACAGATATAAGGACAAATCATTCTCAAAATCTAACAATGTTCTTGAATGAGGAGTGCCAAGCATTATCCTGTCTATGACATTGAGGCTGAAAAAGGTTAAAGGAACTGCCCAAGTTCACACACCTGGAAATAACAACTAGGCATACAAGCTGTCAATTTTCACGTTTAAATCTCTGTTTGCTTTCAAATGACAAGAGCTAGCCATATTTAACGCCAGTTTCCAGGATGTGATAGCCACCTATGAAAAATAACGAATAAGTAATAAGTTTTCTAAAGCAAACACCCAGAGGCTGAGCTTCACCTGCATGTGAGTGGGATACGAGCTACCAGGAGCCTGAGCAGAAGGTGCAGGTGGTGAAGCAGGGGCAGCAGGAGTTGGTGCTGGGGCTGCTGGTGGGGTGGGTGCTGCCGAGGAATCCAATGTATAATTTTTAAAGGCCTCAACATCCTCAGGCCTAAGGAAGAGAAAGAATGCATAAGTATAAGGCAATTATAAAGCAGATTCAGCTCCTGTAGAAGTTGTCTTAGAAATCTTGAACTAATTTCTCAATTCTGGGTTAAGATATTCCACTCAGCACCTAAGTTCCGCAAATTACCAGGGTACTACTCACTTTTCAACTGTGATACAGATGACTGATCCAACTGGAACATCTCTAGTACCTTCAGCAACAAGTATCTTTGCCATGTAACACTCCTCCAAGCTCTCAAATCCAACAGTGGCTTTATCAGTTTCAATCTTTTAACACAAACACAGGAGCTTAGGCTTGTGCTGCCAGTATGAAGTTTATTAGCTTGTGTCTAGAATCATACAACTCAACAGTCATGTGAAGATAAAGCCTCTATCACACACTTGAAAGACGGAATTATTTTAAAACATCTTAGCTAAAAATGAGTTTGGCTAGCTGCTGACAACTTATCTAACCAATCTTCTCTACTATCAAGTGGTACAAGGGATAACTTACCACCCAGAAAGTTAACGTTCAGTCAGTTTACCTAAGCCACTCCCTTCTAACTCATTTCCATATTTTAAAACAACTTACCTCTGCAATTAGTTCACCCTCATTGATTTTTTCCCCTTCCTTTTTTTCCCAACGGGCTATGGTGCCTGCCTGCATTGTGGGGGAAAGAGAAGGCAATGGAACCTGGAGGAGAAAAAGGAGAAACACTAAATTTTAAAAGGGATGCCTAACTCTCAGTCTGGTTTAACGTTTCATTCAATTCAATTTAATTTAATGCAAAGAGTTTACTGAGTCCCATTACACGCTGAGCACTGGAGGTATAAAAGGAGTTTCTGCCACCAGAAGCTCTCCAGTGACAGGCTCCCGGCTCCACAGTCCTGTGGGTCTGACAGCACGGACGTGACACTCCAGATACAGCCCCAGGTTTGGAGTTCTCCTTTCAATGGACTAGAAAAGAAGGAAGCTCAAGAGCCACAGCAAAGCTGGGTATTGGAGAAGGGCCGATGACATATACAGGGAGGGGGGCGAAGGATCACTGAGATCTCTGAGGGAGGATCCCGAGGCCAAAAAGTCTGCCCTGAAGGACATCAGGGTCCCGCGAAGGACAGGTCTGGGGCTCACCTTCTGATGCGGGGGGAGACTATAACAGCGGCGGCTAGGCGATCCCAAAAGTTGCAGCAGGAAGCGATTCCGCGGTGCAGCCCACGAGCTGGGGCTCCAGCCGCAGAGCGCCCGGACCCCGCCATAGCCCGTGGTCGCGCTGCTGCAACGAGCCGAAGCCGGGCCAGCACGCGGGGTCACGCACGGAGCTCCCGGTTCCTCCGGCACGGCCGTCCATCGAACCCCGAATCCCGCCCTTGGGGCTGCCTTCTGGGCCTGCCGCGCACAGACGCGCCACATAGTGCCACAGACCCCCACACCCCAAAACCAACGCGGTCTCCGGAGTGACCTCTCCCGGAGCAGCGCGTTGTTGCCGTCAGCCACGCCGCGCAGCCGCACGTTGTCGTAAAACGGGCTCCAAAGAGCCACCCCACCCCCTCTCCAGACCATTACTGTGTGGAACGTACACTTTCCTCTCGGGAGTTGGGGAAAGGGAGTCGTGAAGCGGGTGGGGGCGGCTGCTTTGGAGCCCCGGGGGTGGGGGGCGTTCCAACGGAGCCAACGCAGATGCAAGTTTGGGAGAAATAAGCCGTGGAGAGGAGTGGAAGGTGGTGGTCCTAGGAAAGGCATCTCAAAGGGTAGGACGGGACCTAAACGGTGAAGGGCATGGCCGAAAGGGAGAGGCCTACAAAGGCAACGAGAGCCGTGCTAGTCGAGGCAGAATGGTCTGAGAAGGTGGGCTGATGGGAGTGACCAAGTTGTGGGGAAGAGCTGGGAAGTGAGCCCGACGACCGGCGGGCGCTGAGAGCCTCAGGCCAAGGGGCGGGGTCCTGCAGCGCTCCCTTAGAGACGGGAGCGCGGAACCGCCCCGGGGCGGGGGTCGGAGCGTTCTGCAGGGGTGCCCTCCCCTCTGCTGACTCAGCGGTGACCGGGTTTGGGGCCTGGCTCTGTGCTGGCTGTACGAGGTTATTACGAAGATTTAATTTCAGGTTTGTAGCCCAACCGGAAACCGGAGTGAACAGGTTTTCCAGCCAAATGGTGTGAAGGGCAACCAAGAAGAAAATACATTCCCACATTCAGGTGCACTGTGGCGGGGGTAAGCGTATTCCCTGTATGAAGATATAGGTTTCAAAACATTTGCGTTTCCACTTTACCATAGAATCCCTTTAAATAGCAAAAAGCTTTGTTATGCTTGAAATATTTCGTACTAAAACTAAAACTATAAGCCCATGAGGGCAGGAAGTATGTCTATATTGTTCTTCCATGCATCCCCAGAATTTAGCCTGAATGCATGTCTTTTAAATTAATGAACGAAAAGTTATCTACAACATTTAAGTACACTTCCACTGTAGGGTTATTCTCCTATAATTAGGAAATAACTCGTTTCTGAGCTGAGGGTAACATTAGATTAGGAGCAAGCAGGTGCTGTATTTATATCTTTTAAGTCTCCAGTGTACAGATGGTCAGAGAACACCAAGAATACAAGAAATAGGAGGAAAAACCAACATTTGAAAACATGTTCAACCTTGCTAGTAATTAAATATTTGGAAAATTAAAATAGCCAGAGGGTACTATTTCATACCTACTTAAGGGGGAAACTTGAAAAAGTCTAAAAACCCAGCATTAATGACATTGCAGAGAAAGAGATGCACTGTTTGGGGCACAATGAATGATGGTTGTTTTTAGAGATGGCAATATAGTAAGAAATATCAAGAATCAGAAAAAATTGTTTACATCCTTCCCCAAAATCCTGTTCTATTATCCTTAAGGCATTCAAAACAAGGTATAAAAAAAAAAACGTTTTAATATCTAACAGAAAAAGTATTGGAAAGATACGGCTATCCAAAACTGAGGAAAAGATTAAGCAGACACAGCTGCGTAGCAGAATATGTAGGCAATACAATTGAGAAATACAAAATTTCCAGATTAAATGGGAAGGCACATTTGAAATAATATTAAGAGTAGATAGAGCAATTGTATTGCTAACGGTTATGTAAAACTACTTATGAATAACAATTGGAGGAAGCAATAGAAGAATAATTGTGATTAGTGAAAGGGCTTATACTGTAACTTTATAAATTATTATAAAAACGTTTTAAAAATTTTGAATTGGCTAAAATATCTTACTACCTCCACGGCATTTGAATTTAATAACTGGATCTAAATTAGCCTTTGTATGAGATGATCTTCAGTTTGCTCTTCTCACTTAGGTGGGCTTGCTTAAACCTTGTTTTGCATTTTTCAGTGCATATTAAGTTTATATTTTGAATATACTTTTGACAGGTGTTGCCAAATCATAGGAGGGCACAGATGGAACAGTCCAGGGGTAGTAAGTTTACCTCAGAGTAAGGTAGGAATTCTTAGGTTTGTCAAATCAATCTTGAGAGAATAGGCCTGAACTCCCCTAAACAGATTGGGTAAAGGAATTTAAGGAAAAGGAAGACTCAATAAGGTTTGAAGTGGAGAGACATGTAGAATGGTGATATCACTGATATAAAATGGGTAGATGGAAAGAGGAATTGGTAACAAAAGATTCTGAGTTAAACTGTTCACATATTTAACATAATGATGGAATAACCCAATTAAAATGGCTTGTAATTAATAATTGAAAATATGTAATTGAAAGTCAAGTGAAAGCACTAAGGGCTAAAGATTTAGATATATAAAATATTCAAATTACAGTGATAAATGAAGCTTACTTAAGTTTTAGGAAGGCAGCTTTCAAATTAATTTGAAAATTCTGGTTCTTTTAAATACACATTTCTGAAAGTCTTTTCTTCATGTTTCTTGCTTTTGCATTAGAGACTGTTTTGCCATACAGTTTACACTCTCAGGTTCTTATTTGTTTGCCCATTTATATATAATTTCTTTACTTTTTTATTTTATTTTTTCTCCTTTACTCCCTAAAGCCCCAGTAGATACCTGTACGTCACAGTTGCACATCCGTCCAGCCGCTGCATGCGGGACGCCACCCCAGCATGGCCGGAGAAGCAGTGCGTCGGTGCGCGCCCAGGATCCGAACCCGGGCCGCCAGCAGCAGAGCATGAGCACCCAACCGCTAAGCCATGGGGCCGGGCCTGTATATAATTTCAAAAGAAGTGCTAAATCAATTAATTCTCTTTGATAATATTAACCTATTCTGTGCTTACATTAGAAATACCTAGGGGGCCAGACCCGTGGCTTAGCGGTTAAGTGCGTGCGCTCCACTACTGGCGGCCCGGGTTCGGATCCCGGGCGCACACCGACGCACCACTTCTCCGGCCATGCTGAGGCCGCGTCCCACATACAGCAACTAGAAGGATGTGCAGCTATGACATACAACTATCCACTCGGGCTTTGGGGGAAAAATAAATAAATAAATAAAATTATAAAAGAAAAAAAGAAATACCGATAGTAAAATATCTGTAGCAATCAAGTAATCCTTATCTCCACTCCCCAAGTAATGAGTAAACATGCTACCAGGGAGATCACTTGAGGAAATTTACTTTCACTAAATGTAAATAGTTTTATTAATTAATTTCAGTTGATAAACACAAGTGAAAATAATTAAAGGTATTTAGTTTGCAAACTCCATTTTATTCATAGTTTGTTTCTTTTTTTTTTAATTAGTTCACAAATCTGGTACATACAGGCAGTTAAAACTGGTTATCACTTTGATAATCAGAAGCCTCTGATATAACACAGCCTTCATGAAAACATTGTAAAACAGGGAGAATACATGGTAATAATCTCTTTGAAAGCAATGGTTGCAAACATCCATGTTTCTAAGAAAATATAACTTTACATATATATTTTAAGCAAGCTATACCTCTTACATAAATTCAGACAGTAGAAGTGTGCAATCATAATGCTTATTTTATGGGAAAAAAATGAAATTATAATTATGACCTAAATGCTTTTAAGTAATTACAGTCCTCATGGATTGGATGTAGAGCATATTTTCCCTAATTTACAACCATCCTGGTGAAAAAGAGCTGAAAAGTTGGTTAGTAAGTAGGATTGCCACTACCAAGTAAGTTTAATCCAAATTCTTTAGGTACAAATTGTCAAGTGTTCCAATTCCAGCTAATTTAGAGAACTGAGTGAGAATAGGCTTCAGTTTTTAAATGAAGACTTTTTAAGGAATTGAGCTTTCTACTAAACTAGTTTTTATGAGAGGGTCATTTTTTTACTCTAACAGGGTTTAGAGATTACTTTATGAACTCTAAACATTTCTAGTTCCTTAGTTTTCTCAAAGAAGGACCTTCAGCAGTAGCAGGATGGACTGTCCCACACAAATGCCACCAGGGGACAATACTCTGAAAAAGTCAAGAGGCGTCCGAAAGTGCAGCCACAGTATATCAAACCAGAATGAATCAACGCACACTCCTCAGAAGGCTCCTCTGTCTTTAGAAACTGGAATGAGGATTACCAACACATTTTACACAAGAATTACTGGAGTGACATCCTGTAATGGGGGTGCTTAGTTATTACTCATGGCATATGAGATTAATGGGCTAAAGGGGGAAAAAAATCATCTTATTTTCCCCCCTGAACTCAATTTCAGCTTTCTATGGAGGCACTAAGGCCATGCAGGCTCCTTTTCGAAAGGACATAAAGATAAAAGACAAAGTAGAGGACTTTGAAATTTTTCTCTGATTTAATTTTCTCTGAAGTTAAATTCTACATAATGGTAAGAATGTTTGCTGACAGAAAACTGACAAGTAAAAACTGATTTAAGAGACAGACATTCAAGATAAATTGTACTGGAAATACGATAACGAATTTTGGTCTGATAACCCTCATGCTGTCTTATAGCAAAACACTAAAATTCATGCAACAGAGAAATGGTTGACATGAGGATTTTTTCTCCAGACTTCCTGGGGAAAAAACTGAGAATATATTGTTTTCTTCTGTTTGCTTTCATAATGAATTATTCTTGCTTTTGATTGACTTTCCCAAACTTTTCCAGTCATTTCTGATGAGAAATCGTTCTTCAGTAGGAGAAGACCAGGTAAACGTACATGAAAGACATCAGGTGTCTTTTGAGCGCCTCCTGTCTGCTAGAGGAGCAATCAAATAGATTACGTAAAACTACCTCCACAACTAAAATGGCAGGTAGAATTGGAATAGGAGTTAGTTGTCATCAGTATACTTGTAATAAAATAAAGCTTGTTCTGAAACCACAAGGGCTGGTAAGAAGAGAAGAGCCTGTATAAAAGCTACTGGGTTCTCTAGAAAATGGATACGGTATACAGAATGTGAGAATATACAGAACTCACACTCAAGTTATAAAAATAGACATGGTTCTCAGACAACAAGCAAATGAGTACAAAAGAATTCTCCAAACATGAACTATTTTAAAAAGACACATTTATATAAAACAATGACATGTCATCTCAGAGCTTCAATGAGTAGACTGTTGAAAAAAGACTGTTGAAATGGCTGAGATGAACTAGAGACAGACAGGTCAAGAACCCAGAACAGATCTGTCTGACTCCTCTGGTTGGCAGTGTACATCGGTGGTCATAGGCAGAATTTGGGGAAAATATACAGTAATGGCTGATTGGTTGATGGTGCTTGGCGAATGAATGAGAAAACCCAAGTTATTAAGTAGGAAGTTTAACTCTTTTCTTTTAGCTTCTACGCTTGACAATGTTGCACATGAGAAAGGATTCTAGGTTTTTTCACCTAGAATCAACCCTGCCATTCACAACTCATGCTCCATGCCCCATGGTTTCTATTGTACCCTAAAGGATCAGCCTAGACTAAATATATAACAGAAAATAACTCTGGCCTTGAAATGAAGAGGGGCAGACCAGTAACTCATGCTCAGTACTCATAAATCACAAATACTGAACTTAATCATCTGTCTCCTTTTGACTGCGAAGGAGATGCCATGAGCTAAAGAAAGTCATGAGAGAAAGAAAGTCAAGAAGATATGGGTAGCAGCACCTTTCCATACCCGCCTGGATTTTTAAGCAGACTTTGACTCCTTATTCCTTTCAAACACAAAGTTCATCAGTTGGAAGGAAAAAAAATGGCTCTAAAGTTAAAGAGCCCCCAGAGAAAAATTAGCAGTACATGAAATATGCCTCTGTGGGCTAAAGGACAAGTTGCAGAAGCAGTTAAGACACAAGAGGCAGCCCAAGGTCTTACTTAATTACAGTTTTAACATAGGATAGCACAATATGGGCAGCCCTTTTTCCATCCAATCAGCAAGTCAGCACCATCCATGTCCAGTCCAAAAGATTCCTGAAGAGTGGGCTTTCATCTTTGGTACCACCTCATGAGTTTATTCTTGGTTTGCAATAGCTGCAAAGAAGCAAAAAAGCTGGTACCTTTGCCTTGTCTGTGAGTACAAATGCTGGGACTCTGATTGCTGCAACCATTGAGGCCAATTAAAATAATACTGTAACACACAGGACTGATGCATCCAATTCCCAGGTTCCAGATAATAGCAGCCATGCCCCTACAGGAGCGGGATCATCCATTCCCATTGGTTAAGGCCTTCGGTTTGTTGTCCTCAGAGTAGAATAAAACACTGCGTTCCCACGGACAAGGAACTCCAGATGAACCCATGGTCTACATTTGAACAGGGATTTTAAGTACCACGTATGCCAGGCAAAGAAAGAAGACTTGCCTGCGACTGTCACACTTGGAGAAGTTTCTGTTTTGGCAGCACGAACTAGAAACTTAGTGTTTTTTGGAGAAGTTTCTGTTTTGGCAGCATGAACTAGAAACTTCTTAGTGTTTTCTGGTTTTAGTTCTCTTTCCTGAGTGAAGCAGCCAGGAGTGCCAAGTTCTACAGGCCCCTAATATAATACTCAGCATTAATTTTCTCCATGGTCTTCTTCCACCCAGGCTACAATTTTCCCTTCCCATCCAGGGATGGCATCATCATCATGGAAAACCTAGAAAAAGAAAAAAAGCCACAATGAAAAAACAGTAAGATAGGGAGTCTCACCAAACAACTGCTGCTGTAAAAATAAGACCTCCAACATAAAGGATAAGAAAGTGTGGAGGACAGCCTTGAGTTAGAGTCTATGTCCCTTTGGTTTTGTCCCTAAAGTTATAACCAGTAAAAAATATATATATTTAATATTATACATTCTTAGTTCCACATCTATGAAATAGTAAAAGCATCCCTAACATTGCTTTGCTCATAGAGATTTACAAGAATTAATAAGTTACTAGAGCATTTTGGGCTTCTTGAGAACCACAGTAATTATAAGCGTTAAAAAAATGAGAAAGGGGAAAATTTTGGTCCCAGGCATTATAAAGAAAAAGGTTAGAAAGAAGACTAATCTTAATATGTTTGCATGCAGTTCTTTTCATTCACTCATCCAATTCATTTCCTAAGCCACTAATAGAACAGGGTTATTAAAACATTTCAGTTAGGAAATCTTTACAAAGTAAAATACTGGCTTTTCCAACCTTTTTAATTCTGTAACCACAATGAGAGCACTTGCAACATGTCATAACCCAGAACCCTTCCCCCCAAAAGAAGTCTATTTTTGGCAGATGGATTCTAAAGAGAAGCATAGGCTAAGAAAATAGTCAAGGAGGTGAGAATAAGCATAGGTGACTTTCCAGGGTTCCTCACTTTCATTATCTGAGAAACTACCTCCACAATATACAGTTCCCTATATTCATGCCTGCATAGGAAACAGCAAGTTTTCTAAGCTTTGACTACAGATAGAAAAGGGACCTCAGGGGCTGGCTCAGTGGTATAGTGGTTAAGTTTGCTCGCTCCAATTTGGCGGCCCAGGGTTTGCTGGTTTGGATCCCAGGCGTGGACCTACGTACCGCTCGTTAAGCCATGCTGTGGCGGCATCCCACATACAAAATAGAGGAAGATGGGCACAGATGTTAGCTCACGGACAATCTTCCTCAGCAAAAAGAGGAAGATTGGCAATGGTTGTTAGCTTAGGGCCAATCTTCCTCACACAGAAAAAGAAAAGGGACCCCAAAGCCAGGCTTTTCTTTAAGCTTAGGCCTTTTATTTTCCCTAACAAAACTTTTTCCTTTTTAAAATAAAAATTCTATCCAAGTTTGGTCAAAGTGATTAAGTCCTTGAACTAAAGAAGCTACCAACTTCTGGGGCCATTCCCTGACCTTCTCAGTCTAGACTAATCAGACTGGTCTGAGGCTCTGGGAAATTCCTCTGACCTGGTTCAGGAACTCAGGTTCCTCTGGGTACGAGTCCTTGAGTAGGAGGTTTGGGTTTCAGGAATGACCAGTAATACCACCCAGACTCCCCATGGGTTCTTTACCTCCTCTTTGACAGTGCCAAACTCAGGATCCAGCGCTTTGAAGTGATACCGGTGATTCCCTTCCCGGTCAATAGCTGCTTTAAAATCCTTCAGTGTCACCTCCTCCAACCTACAACAAGAGGAAAGAGCACTAAAATAGACTGTTTATCAATAGGTTGGAAAGATAAGATGTTAGCTTTAAACGCAGGCCCCTGCCCAAGTCTCTCCAGGCAGAAATAGCATGGCCTTGTTAGGTCATTGCCCTTGATAACCCCAATCATTCTAAAACAGCAGAGGTTAGGGAGCCAGTCACCATTAGGGAATGAAAATGGCATTACATATGGGGTGATCTGAGAATTTAGAATAGATTTGTTGCTTCAGCAGCAGCCAAATTACTTTTCTCTCTTTTCCTCTGGAAATAAGACATAAGGTCTCTGAAATCAAATTTGTTGAACTATCAATATGACAAAGTTCTCTTGATTTCCTTCTTTGCAACAATATTCCATTTGTCTAGGTTGGTAGAATTAAATCAAGTATCATCATCTTTTTCCTTCTAGCTTCAGAAAGCTCCCCTTTAACCCAGACTAAGTAAGCAGACTCTTTAAGGGAAGGGAAATCCTATCACGTCTCTCAGTAGTTGGTTCCAGAGTTTAAAAATCTTTATTTCAAAGCCATTTACCTTAAGGAAGTATATTAACCAAGTGTTTGAAGCTTTTTAACGTGAATTCTCAATAGGTTAGTTGCAGTCATCGAATAACAATGAAGATCAATGAGTAATAGCCCTGGAGTGCCAGGCTGCAATCCATGGCTATCAGCAGGAACTATTTCAAGCACTTAAAAACTATTTTTCCTAACTTGGAGCATATTTGCATATCAGGATTGGAAGCACTACTACTGCATCTGTACCTAGCAGATTTTGACTTGTCCCTTGTAATGCTGCTGGTTTGTGGTAAAGCTGGAACTAGAACCTCTATCTCCTGTACTCGTCTCCCTACACCATACTGCTTCTCAAACACCTCTCAGCTGGTGAGATGGGCAGTAACCAATGATTCTGCCTTCCTGTCCTTTTTTATTTATTTTTTATTTTTTGGTGAGGAAGATCAGCCCTGAGCTAACATCTGTTGCCAATCCTCCCCTCTTTGCTGAGGAAGATTGGCCCTGAGCCAACATCCATGCCCATCTTCCTCCATTTTCTATGTGGGACACCTGCCAGAGCATGGCTTAACAAGCAATGTGCAGGTCCACGCCCGGGATCCGAACCCATGAACCCCAGGCCGCCAAAGCAGAGCGCACGGACTTACCACTACGCCAACAGGCCAGCCCCTGTCCTTTTTTAAAGAGAAATAATGATCCCAGTATCTCACCTCTTTGGTATATTGACCATGAAGGGTGTAAGGGACCGGTCAGTGAAATAGAGCACTTTAGTGCAGGCGCTGCTGACAGCTGGAGAGCTCTGTGAGTGAGGCAACTCTGCAATCAGAGAGAGACACTGTGGTCAGAATGTTCAGTTTGCTCCCAACCACCCCTCATTTCCAGTTGTTCAAAATGTCCCAGGAGAACAGAGCTGCCTGAGGTCACAGCACGGCCTTCACACCCTTGCCAAACACCATATCCATGGGGTGTGACCCACAGGAAGTCACCACTGGGGCCACAAAGACAAGAGCTGCTTCAGACATGGACACTATCACAAGGACCATCATTTCTCACCCATTCCAGGTATTTCTAGCAGGAGAATGTTCTGTTCTGTTCTGCCAGGCATTGTTGCTAAGAGTCAAAAGAGGTCAGAGAAGCCCAGCAAGATTTCAGCTAGGGCAGAATGGACACATAGCAGGAGCTGCAGACACTGCTAACATTTAGATTTTGGAGGTCAGTGGTAGAGAATGCTCACGCAATTCATGAAAAGAGAAACAAATAGGAACATGAACCATAGGAGCAAAGTAACCTTAGAAACTCAGATTCCAAGGAGCCTTATGCTTCCAGTCTAAAAGGTACAAGACCTACCTTATCCCTTAGCTATTCAATATCTATATGTGTTGGTCCCATGGTTTTTAACTCAGGATTCTTGATCCACATCTTGTCTCTACCCTTTGTATAGGTACTTATGGAAAATTTTAATTAATGAGTACTTGTGATTATGACTTTAAGAAAATAGGAAAAAACACCAATCAGAAACTTTTATCATAAGGACCAAAAAACAATAATTAGACTTTCATTAAAATCTCTCCCGCAATTCCACCTACACATATTTTCTTCTTAACTTATTCTAGGCATTGATCCCAATCAAACTGGCAGCCACAGGAAAGCAGTCCTGTGAAGGAGTTTAAAATAAGGGAGGATATGAGGGATGAATTAATACAGGGGAGAAAGACAAGGGAACATTTTCTCTTTGCACAGCAATCACAATCAATCAGTTTTCTGAATTTTTTTTCAAAGAATGCTAACTATTGAAACCTACACACCATGATGCTCATTTGACTCCAACACCTAGAACAGTGCCTGGCACACAGTGGCTGTTTAATAAAATAAAATATTCATTTTTATCATTAAATTTTATGATGATTGATTCATTCATTTAACAAACATTTATTGAGCACCTACCATGTGCTAGATTTTGAGAATATAAAATCAACTACATGTGGTCTCTGACCTCAAAGAGTTTACAGTATCGTATGGATGACCGATATGATTACAAATAATTACAATACACTAAAATCAGATTTGTACAAGGAAAATTGGAGATGGGGCAGTTAATTCCACCTAGAAGAGGTCAGAAAGGCGCCACACTTGGAGAATCCTTAAACAAAGCAGCTTTAAAAAATCATCAGATAGAGAAGTTGGAAAGGGCATTCCAAGAGGGAAGGATACACGTAAAGGCATGAAATGGGATCTTGTATTTGTAAAACTGAAAGTCAACTAGTAAGGAGCATAAGGAACACACAAGAGAAGCATAAGGGAGAGCATAAGGGAAGTTGTGGAAGATGAGGATAATAAAGTAGGCAGGGGCCAGATCACAAAGGACTCTGCCAGGCTAAGATGTTTAGATATGAGTCTTAAGCTCTGGGGAGATACTAAAAGGGAGCGATACAATCAGACTGTCATTTTAGAAAGGTCAATCTAGCAGCAAAGTAAAGTATGGGTTGGATGGGAGAAATTCTCGAAACCAGTAATCCCATTAAGAGGCAATTAAAACAATCTGAAAGATGAGGAAGGGCAAGATGTAGCCCTGGAGCCAGAGAAGGGATGGATTTGAAAGAACTTTAGAAGGTAAAAGTCTTAGTACTTGGGATATAGTTGAACATCAGGGATAAAAGAGAAAAGTCAAAAATAACTGAGATTTATGGTCTGGGAAAATAGACGCATAGTAGTATCATTACCTAAGAGAGGAACAGAAGTGAGTTATGTCATCCATTTAAAATGTTTACTCGGTGCCTATTATGTATCAAGTACTAGAGATGCAAAAATAAATTAGATACAATCCCCACCCTTGAGGAGTTCAAAGTCTACTGGAGTGAAAAAAGTTATGATATATGAAAATAATACTGCTATGGACTGAACTCTGTCCTCCTGAAATTCATATGTTGAAGCCCGAAACCCTCATGTGACTGTATTGCAGATAGGGCCTTTAGGGAGGGACTAAAGTTAAATGAAGTTATAAGAGTAGAGTCCTGATCCCATAGAACTGGTGCCCTTATAAGAGGAGGAGACGCCAGAGCTCTCTCTCCACCATGTAAAAACATAGAAAGAAGGTGGCTGTCTGCAAGCCAAGAAGCAAGCCCTCCGTCAGCAGAACCTGACCACGCTGGCCCCCTGACCTTGGGACTTCCAGCCTCCAGAACTGTAGGAAAATAAATTTCTGTTGTTTGAGTAATTCAGTCTATGGTATTTTGTTATGGCAGCCCAAGTTGACTAATAGAAATGTTATGTACACATTTTGGATGAACTTCAAGGAAAGAGTAATCATGATGTCCACTGCAACACAGAGGCCTAGTAACTAAAGACAGGTTTGGTAAATAGGTCATCAATGACATTAGTGAGAATAGTTTCAGGTGACTAGTGAGGAAGACTGGGTTGGATTGCACAGACTTTAGAGTGAAAAACAAAAAGAGAGTAATGAGGGAGAACTAGTCTTACTCAACATTAAATCTTATGATAAAATGATAATTGTTACTTCAGTGTGGCATTACTATAAAAATCACGTACAAAAAAATCTGAGAATAAATGACCCAGAAACATATCCTTGTATATATGTGTATGTGTAAATTTAATACAGACCTTCCTCGACTTTAGATGGGGTTACATCCCGATAAACCCATTCTAAGTTGAAAATATCTTTAAATGGAAAATGCATTTAATACACCTAACCTACTGAACATCATAGCCTAGCCTGGCCTACCTTAAATGTGCTCAGAACATCTACCTTAGCCTACAGTTGGGCAAATCATCTAACACAAAGCCTACTGTATAATAAAGGTTGAATATCTCATGTAATTTATTGAATACTATACTGAAAGTGAAAAAAAGAATGGTTGTATGGCTACAGAATGGTTTTAAGTATATCGGTTGTTTACCCTCGTGATCGCATGGCTGACTGGGAGCTGCAGCTTGCTGCCACGGCCCAGCATCACGAGAGAGTATCATACCACAAATCAATAGCCCAGGAAAAGACCAAAATTCAAAATTCGAAGTACAGTTTCTACTGAATGCATTTTGCTTTCCCACCAACATAAAGTCAAAACATCATAAGTTGAACCATCGTAAGTCAGGGACCATCTGTACATGATTTTAAAAGGCATCACAAATCAGTTTTAGCTTTTTAAGTTTAGGTTTATGATCCATTTGGAGTTAATTTTTGTATATGGTATGAGGTATAGGTTAAGACTCTTTTTTTTAATATGGGCTTTTAATTGTTCCAGGACCATTTGTTGAAAAGCCTATCCTTTTGCCATTGCATAGCCTTTGCACTGTTGTTGAAAATCAACTGGCCAATACATGTGAGTCTACTTCTGAACTCTCTACTCTGCTCCACTAATCCCTGTGTCTATCCATTCGCCTTTACTGCACTGTCTTAATTACTCTAACTTTATAGTTAGTTTTGAAATCAGATAGTGTGGCCCTCCAACTACTTTGTTCACCTTTCTCAACTCTTGTTTTGTGTGGCTATTCTAGTCCCTTTATCGTCCCATATAAATTTTAGAATCAGCTTGTTTACACCTACAACAAGTCTGGTAGGATTTTTATTGGAATTGCATTGAAGCTATAGATCATTTGGGGAGAATGGACCATCTTAACAATGTTGAGTACTCCAGTCCATCATTCATTTAGATCTTCTTTGACTTATTTCAATAGTGTTTTGTAGTTTTCGGTATAGAAATGTTGCACATATTTTGTAAGGTTTATACCTAAGTATTTAATGTTTTTTTTGGTCCCACTATAAATGATACTTTAAAGTTTTTTTCTATTTCCAAATATTCATTGCTAGTATATGGAAGTACAATTGACTTTTTATATAATGACCTTGTATTCTATGACCTTGCTAAACTCACTTCTTAGTTATCACAGCTTTATTACAGATTCTTTGGGATTGCTACACAGACAATTGTGTCATCTACAAATAGAGGTAGTTTTGTGTCTTCCTTTCCAATCTCTATGCCTTTTCTTTCTTTTTCCTGCATCTATGTTCATTAGAGATACTAGTTTTGGAATCAGGGTAAAATAAAATGTGTTAGGAAGTGTTCCTTCTATTTTCTGGAAGAGTTTGTGTAGAATTGCTATTATTTCTTCCTTAAGTGAACCCATTTGGTCCTGGAGTTTTCTTTGATGGATGGAGCATTTTAAACTACAAATTTAATTTCTTTAATAACTAGAAACCTATTCAGCTTATCTATTTCCCCTTGAGTAAGTTTTGGTAGTTTGTGTCTTTCAAGGAATTTATTCATTTCATCAAAGTTGTCAAATTAATAGGCATAAAGTTGTTTGTTCCTTAATTATGCTTTTGATGTCTATAGGATCTATAGTGATATCCTCTCTTTCATTTCTAATATTTGTAATTCGTATCTTCTCTATCATTATATTGTCTCTCTTTATACCTGCAAATATTCCTTGTTCTGAAGTATATTTTATCTGATACTAACATAACCATACCAGCTTTCTTTTGATTAGTGTTTCCATGATATATCTTTTTCCATCCTTTTACTTTTATCCTATTTATATTAACATATTTAAAGTGGGTTTCTTATAGACAGCATATAGTTGAATCTTGTTTTTTCATCCAATTTGACAATCTCTAATCTTTTAATTGATATGCTTAGACCATTTACATTTAATGTACTTATTACATGTTTTGATTAAAATCTACCATCTTCCACTAAATACAATAAAATGTTAATAGTCTCTAGGTCAGGTGGTTTTTAATCTCTGGTCCTCAGACCAGCTACTTTACTAAGAACTTTTACTGTTTGTAGCAACCATAACTGGCTATCATCACCCACATTTACCAATGAAGAACAGAAGTTAGTTCCTAAGGTCCCAGAATTCCTAAGTGACAGCACCAGAGTTAAAATACAGCTCTGCTTTACTCCAAAGCTATGTTTTTCCCACCAAACAAGGCTGCCTCCCAATTAATAAGATGCTAGTAAACAATAATTTTGTAAGTGGTAAAGAACTATGTAATAAAAATCAGATTACTTTTAAAAATCTACCATCTACCTTGTTTTCTATTTGTTCCATATGTTTTTTGTACCTTTTTTCTTTTATCCTCTGGTTCTCCCTGCTTTTGGATTAAGTGTATATATATGTATACATATATATGTACACGTTTTGTATTGTCTTCAAAGCCCGGTGAGTTTTAGATTCTCAATTTGGATACACCATTTCAACATGTAACCAATATTTTTAGCAATGAAATACTTTAAATTTTTTTGGTATTGGATTGAGTATTTTATGATTCTTTTTTATCTCCCCTATTAATTTTTTATTTAATTTTTAAAAATTTTATTGGTTGCTCTTGGATTTAAATATATAACTTTAATTAGTCACAGTCAGCTTTCAAATAATATTATACCACTTTACCTGCAGTGTAAGAACCTTACAACAGTAGAGTCTAAATTCCTCTATCCCAATGTTTGTACTATTGTTGTCATAGATATTACTTTTACACATGGCATAAACCCATAATATATTAACACTATTTTTGCTTTAAATAGTCTGTTATCTTTTATTTTTTTATTTTTTTTTTTTCCAAATTTTATTTCCATTTTTCCCCCAACTTTTTTGAAATATAATTGACATATTATATAACGTTTACCTTAAACAATGTGTAAGTTTAAGGTGTGCAATACCTTTTTGTTTTCTTTTTTTTTAATTTTTATTTATTTATTTTTTCCCCCAAACCCCCAGTAGATAGTTGTATGTCATAGTTGCACGTCCTTCTAGCTGCTGTATGTGGGACGCGGCCTCAGCATGGCCGGAGAAGCGGTGCGTCGGTGCGGCCCGGGATCTGAACCCGGGCCGCCAGCAGCCGAGCGCATGCACTTAACCACTAAGCCACGGGGCCGGCCCGTCTGTTATCTTTTAGACCAACTAAAAATATGGGGAAGAAAAGGTCTTTTGTATTTACTTTCATTTTAACCACTTCTTTTTGTAGAACACAATAGAATTTTTCCAGGGAAGGAGAAATTTATTAGACTTTTGAAAAAAAATTTCTAAATATTTAGACCTATCTACATTAGCAGTTTATACTAACCTAAACAAACTACTGAAGAAGACAACAATAAAATAAAAAGCCTCTCAAGAAAACAGAAATGACTGTTTCAAAAAAAGGCTAGGAAGGGGCCGGCCCCATGGCGCAGTGGTTAAGTTTGCGTGCTCTGCTGCTGACGGCCTGGGTTTGGATCCCGAGCGCGCACCGATGCACCGCTAGTCAGGCCATGCTGTGGCAGCGTCCCATATAAAGTGGAGTAAGATGGGCACAGATGTTAGCCCAGGGCCAGTCTTCCTCAGCAATAAAAAAAAAAAAAGAGGAGGATTGGCAATGGATGTTAGCTCAGGGCTGATCTTCCTCAAAAAAAAAAAAAGGCTAGGAAAAGAAACTGAAACTAATTTTGGTACTAACATAATTTGTTTCATTCCCAGTGTAGATACCTCATTTAAGAGAAAAGATATCTGGAGGCTCAAGAATGCTATTTTATTTACTCTACAAAAAATACTTTACGTTTCATATTGGTGCAAATATTTTAAGTGTTTTACTTTCAGTTTTGTTTATTAATGTGGTCTTTAAAATTGTATATGCAACATACAAAACTGGTGATGGTCAGCTTTTTACTATTTGGTTTTTGTAAATTATTAGTTAGATACTTTTAGATTAGGCCTGGGTAAACTATAAAAGATAAGAAAATATGAACATTATTAAACCAAAAGGTAAGATAAAAATTAAAATAGAAATTACTAGGCAGAGTAGATTTCCAACATGTTGAAATGAACAGGGAAAAAAATGTAATGAATGAGTGAGCACAGAGCCAGTTAAAACATACTTCCTAGTCACGGTCACTAGATGGCGCAAATATTTTGCAGGACTTAAAATGAATGACCTAAGAACTCAAAATTTTAAAGAAAATTCCCAAAGAAATTAAACTTCTTGCCTCTAGGAAGAACTGGAAATTATCTGTGCTCTTTGGTACTGAAGGATGATTTGTGTGTGTTTTTGTTGTTTTATATTTTGCTTTGTTCGGTGTAAATGTTTTGACAGTGTCCAAAGACATTTTAGCCTCTCTGAGTCTGCAGCATCCTGCACATGGCTAAACGTGGGGAGATGGTGGTGATGATGATGGTATGTGTCTTCACAGTCCTAGAAATAACTCGATTCTAGTATTGCTACAGAAATAACATAACAGTGAAGTACCACAAGAAATATTCTATCCCCCAAATATTAGTAGCATGAAAAATACTAAATTTCTGATCTAATACGCTAGGAGTCCTTACTGAGCAATAATGAGTACTTACTTGAATTAGGGGGCCAGGACTCCCGATATTCACTACCTGCTTGAGTTCTGGGTGACTTGCCCCGAACCTGGGGAGCCACACAAAAATCACAAGAGTTATGATCAGTGGGAGAACTTAACCAAGAAATTTAAATCATAAAAGAGTACCTAAAATACACTTTCTACCACATCTTCTTCCACAGTATATAAACTTGGGCATAGTCACCCTAACAATAATAATGTACATTTATAAAAGGCTCTCGAGTTTCCAATGCATTTTCTCATATATTTTCTCATCCAACGTCAAGCTCATTCAGGGGGGAAGGGAGGCAGGGAATAAGCAGTAAATAGAGACCTGTGGGGTCAAGAACCACAATTCCTCAGACAGTTATACAGTTGCTAGAAGCAACAGTTATCATGAACTCCTTCCCTAGATTGTCACACTATGATAAAGAGTCCACTGAGAGGAAAACCAGAGACAAGCAACTATAACTTTCAGCAGGGTCTTATATCTTTTAGCACTGCCTTCATCTAAATTAAAATTGATAAAACTAAGCTGCTTCAGGACCTTGTCTAACAGAAACACCATGCAAAGAGGATTACCCTTCTTTCTTGTTTCTTCTGGGTCTCCATGACATGCAGGCGCTCCATGAGGCTAGAGATGCCCTGCTCCAAGCTGTCAATGGTGTGGTGCTGAGGATCATGGCCACTGAAGCTATTGCGCAGGCTGCGGAGGGCATCTCGAACAAGCTGCAGGTCGCTGGTCTGCAGGCAAAAACGAGGTGCTGTTGGCATGGCACAGTGCCATATTATTAACCACATCCCAAACGCTGGGCTTAAGAAGATATAGGGGAGAGGCTTCCAGGATAGATCTTTTATTCTCGAGAGAGGAGGTGTGAACAGTAGAAAATTTCCCTCCACAGAAGCAAGCCTACTGTTTGCCAACTAATTCTTGATTTTGGATATCAAGTGCCTCACATCTTTACACACCCAACAGATGCAAGAATTAGGGAATGGGGATATAAAAGGCCTCATCTACTGGAGATGGCTAGGGTACTCTTCTGGTTTTAGCTGGAAGTGACAGGTCTGTACTCAAATCCTAAGAACCTACCCCTCTGTGAGTGATGGAAGCAGCTCCCTTTCCTGCCACTGGAAGGAGGAAACCATTGCTTTGAGAGTTGTGACTGTTGTAGTTGGTCACCTATAGCAGCAAGATGAAATGATGCTTGTTAGAAGGGAGAATTCCAAACCAAGATGTCCTGTCTTATTTTTCTTCTTTAAATTTATCACTTCCTGACATAGTAGATAATTATGTATATGTTTAAAGTCTCTCTCGGTTAGAATGTAAGTCTCATAAGTGCATATTTTCCCCCTTTTGTCCCCAGCACTCGACACTTGGTAGGCATTGTTGAATGTAGAATGAACAAAATGGAAACCTCAGCCTGGAGCCCCCTACCTAGCTTCTGCCTGGCCACTGGGGGGCCTGAGACTGCTGCTCCAGCACCTCCTGTCTCTGCTTCAGTAATAAAAAAACAAAAACAATGACTACTATTTTTCTTTTTTTTGTGAGGAAGATCAGCCCTGAGCTAACATCCGTGCTAATCCTCTTCTTTTTGTTGAGGAAGACCGGCCCTGAGCTAACATCCACTGCCAATCCTCCTCTTTTTTCTCCCCAAAGCCCCAGTAGATAGTTGTATGCACAGTTGCACATCCTTTTAGTTGCTGTATGTGGGACGTGGCCTCAGCATGGCCGGAGAAGCGGTGCGTCAGTGTGCGCCCGGGATCCGAACCCGGGCCGCCAGCAGCGGAGTGCACGCACTTAACCGCTAAGCCACAGGGCCGGCCCCAATGACTACTATTTTTTGAGCCTGACTCTGTGCCAGATGGATCTACCAGCACTGTGTTTAGTTATTTACATGGATAATCTTATGTATTCTTCATAATGGCAGAGAAAGCCACCATTATCTCAATTTTCCAGATGAGCCTTATTTCTAAGGCTCAGAAGCTAAGCAAATTAAAGTCACACAATGGTAAAAAGTGGTAAAGATGGAATTTGAAACCAGATTTTCTTATCCTGGAGTCTGCACTCTTACCCCTCACCAAATAGCCTCCTAACAAACCGACCTGTGGCCTTGGTTCAGCCCTGAGCCAGAAACAGAATCTCCCTCTTTGCCCTTGTAAATGTGGGAAGGAGGCCCCGAGTTGTAGGTTACCTCATCTGCCTCTCTTTTCATACACTGAGCCAAAAGGACATCTTTGTGTTCCAGCTCCCGCTCTAGGTCCACCTGCAAATCAGAGATTAAATCAGAAAAGGATTTCTTCAGGCCAGCGGGGCAGGAAGTCAGTGGTTGAATATCTTCCTACCTGCTGGTAACTGGCCTCAGAGAGTTTCCGGAGTGCTTCTTCCAACTTGGCCTGGTGCTGCTGAAGGAGGCGATCCTTCTGCCCCAGCTCTTTCTGCAATAGAGAGCTTTCAGATGTGTGGCAAAGCCAAGGACATCAAACAGTTCACCCTTCGCAATGCAATTTCCACCTGAGGAAAGTAGAACCTCGAGGGGAACAGTCCTTTCCTCAAGCTACACAGGAGGACATTACACACCATAGTAGTCTTACATAGTGCAAAGGATTCTTGGGGAGGGAAGAGAGAAGGGAACTACTATTTGTAGAAGGACTACTACATGCCATCCATTCTAGTTAGAGATAAAGATTAAGACTGAACTGAAGTTTCCAGACTCCTAGTTCTGTACTCCTTCTCCTAGCCATGCTTTCTATTCTTCAGGGTTAGTGAATCAAGGGAACACAGAAAAAGATGTCATTGCAGAAAGCAAGGAGGAGAACAGGGTACCTAAGGGCTCTTTGAACAACAGCAACAATAGGCTGTTCATAAAAGGTCAGATGGAAATCATTCCAAAACTGATAACACATTCTTACTTTATATTCTCCCAAGAGCCGGTTCCTCTCATCTAGCTTCCTTTGCAGATCCACCTGCAAGAAGGATAAGAAAGAATTAACTGGCATGGAGGTATTGTCTGCCAACCCCAGTAGGAAACCAGCTACTTAGGAACCCGAGTTCATGCTGGCAATTACAGTATACAGCACAGAGAAGGCATGGTTACAGTAAAAACACACAGCTGCTCTCCATGTCTTTAGTAAGATAATCAGACTGTAGAACCACAACAATTTAGCCTCTGTCTTAGTATCCTCAAAGTTGAAGGGCTCAAGGCCCGTGTGATGTGAGCTTTCACCTAGGAACAGAGATGAGTTTCATGGAGGATAAAAATAATTGCAGAGGGCAGTCATCCAGAAATAAGAGAGATTAGGATGGCAGATCCTCCGATAGGACTTCATGCAGTATCCTATTTTGCTGCTGCGGCTCAATGAGGTCAGAGTTCATTTAACTCACATTCTGGTTGTGCAGCTCATCTTTGTCCATATTTGCCCTCAGTAGTTCTTGTTTGAGCTGAAGAACAGATGTGTCCTGCTGAGTCAACCTCTGCTGCAAGGCATCCTGGGGTAAAAAAAGCATACTCATTATTGTGGTCCCAATTTATCAATCAGCCAGTTATTACTAAAAGTTTTAAACCCCTCACTGCATACCCAGCATTAGTTCTGGCAAACTGAGAGACAAAAGGAGTACAGGATCTTGCTATAAGGAGATGAGCAGAGATCTTTCTGTCCTCTTCCAAGATACTAGCATCTAAAGGAAAATCCTATCCATTGTCCTACCAAGCAGATGAAACCTGATTTTTCCTCCACCTAGTACTCACTCCTACCCTCTAGTGCATTCCTGAAAGCACGATGTCCTGGAGAGAGAATGAGTAGCCTTTGAGATCAGATAGACCTAGATTCAAATTACAAGTCTACCACTTACTTTCATGACAGTGACCTTGGACATTGCACTCTCCTTCCTCCCACCCTGGCTTTCTCATCTATATCCTGGGCATATAAATACTTAATCTAGATGAGCTTTTTTTCCTTCTCCTTCCTTGCCAAATCCCCATTTCCTAGAGGGCTAGGCCCTATTGCTCCCTGCCACCTGTTCATATAGAATCCCTGGAATTACCCCCACCCTGCCTTCCAGAGGCCTGCTCCTGCCCTATTTCCACTGCCTTCCAGTGCCTAGTCTGGACCAGGACTGGGATTATATTGCCATGCTCAGAACTATTCTTGGACTGATGGTTCCTCTTCCCAGTGTCTTAGGATCTCACCAGCTTTAGGCCGTCTTCCTCTCAGCTTGACCCTCTTGGTTCTTACCATGCCTAAGAAAAGGTGGGTTGTACATACTTAAGTAAAAGGGTCAGCTATAATACATTCCTCCAACCATGGTGACTTCAAATAGAACTAATGGACTTGAGCTGCATTCCAGTATATTTGCCCTGACTGTTCTCTCTCTACAGACTGTAAAGAAATGGCACAGACTGGAGAATGTGGGAGCCCATTCTAAATATGCTGTCTGCCATGACAGTACATGGCAAAGGGAGTCTAAGATGCCCCTGGCATCAGCAGTTCACAGGAACATTTCCCAAAGTGAGCTCCACGGGATGTTAGTTAAGTGTTGCATGGGAGAAAAAGCACGTCTGTGGTTAATAATTCTAAACTTTTTTTAGGCCAACCTCTTTATGACAGACCTTCTCAGGACCTTTAACATGCTATTATTCACTGTGACTCTTCAAGCCTGTAGGGCATTTCTCAAACTTATTTGAGCATGAAACATGTTTGTTTTCTGAAGTATCTCAAAGGACTAAGGCTACACAACATACTCTGGAAAATGCTGCTGTTATACTCTAGTTCAGCCCATAAATGGGAGTGTAGGGAAGCGGAGAAAAGTGGTGGAGAGCCTTCTCCACTTCCAGGTATTTATTCAGCAGATATACCCCTACTTGGGTGAAATAACATATATTCAAGGTTATTAGCTAGATCACTGTTTGTATTAGCAAAATACTGGAAATAACCTAAAAGACCATCAATAGGAACTGATTAGATAATCATATATACATATACTGGACTACTATGCAGCCATAAAAAAGACCTAAGAAGGTCTTTATGTATTGAGATAGAATGATCTCCAAGATACATTGCTAAGTGAAAAAAAGCAACATGTCAAGCTGTATTTATTTATACTATTTATATTTATTATAGTATTTATATTATTACTAGGGGGAAAATTATATACATACATAATTGTTCATAACTGATAAAGTTGCCTCCAGGAAAGAGAACTAGGTGACTAGAGAGATACGGCCAGAAGGCAGACTTTTCAAGGATTATCCTTTTGTACCTTCTTAACCTTAAACCATTTGAATGTTATTAACTATTCAAAAACTAAGTAAATTACAGCTTTTAAGAGGACATTCTTCTTTAGAACTGAAGAAAACTGATAAAAAACTGAAACTGAAGAAAGCTGTAAAAACGGATTGTTTTTACATATAGAAACAATCAAGGTGGCACAGAGAGAAGTGACAGTACCATGAGTCATAACTACCAGAAATAAGCTTCAGCAAAACAAAGGTATATCCCTCAACGTGTCTCCCTCCCCATCCACAAAGCCCTCTCTCTGCTAACAGCACACAGCCTGTTAAAGGCCCCAGCAAACGTCTCCAGGAAAAGAACACAGGACCCAACCATCCTCCCAGCACCACTCTCATCGGGGACTACTTTCCCTTGTAGAGAGTTTATTTAAAGAGTTAAATGTCTTCCTTTTTTACCTTTATTCCCTGTAAGTTTCTGGCTTCTTGTTTGCATTTCAGCAACTCCTTCTGCAAACCAAATATAGTTAGATCAGATGGTAGCATCTGGGTTGCTTCAGAAGCATTACCTCATTCTGTCAGTAAGAACACAAAACTCAGAGAACCATTCCAAAAATTAACCCTCTACTGGGGCAGAAAGCAGGTCTGGTCCAGTAAACAGTAAAGGCTGACCCGTAGAAACAAGAACAGGACCCATTCCATTCTTCCCTGTGGCACCCAGGCTCAACTGCCCAGGTAGAGAAGAGTCTTGCCAAGAAAGAAGATACCATACATTCCCACAGGCTCTCATTCCTATATTTAGCAATCTTCATGGCAGGAAAACTTAATAATCTAAATCCCTGTCACTGAAATATATGTCATATCTTAATATGTCTACCCCCAACGTCATTAAATAATTATCTCAGTTTTTAATGTTCAGCAAAGGGTTATAATGCTTCTGCTTCTCTGAGAGGGTATTGTTCTTCATGGACAAAAAACACATTTAGCACCATAACAAAATATGAAGTAATTAACCTTACAATAGATTAAATATATGTATATGATTGTCACTAGGAAAGATCTTTCAGGAGAGGAACACCCATAGCCCGGACCCTACTCTCTTCTTTACCTATTCCATCACATCAAGCGTTTGGAATTAACATATCTAAAGTGGGGATTCTTAACCTGGACTCCACGATGGGCTCGAAAGTTACTCAAATAAAAACCAAAGTCAGTGAGTGTGTGTACATGCACTCATGCATATTTCTGGAGAGAGGGTTAATGGCTTTAGTCATATACTTATGACTCCAAAAAAGTTAAGACCCACTAACCTAAAAGAATTCTGGGAAATATTCATTAAAAAAGACCATATTGGAGTATAGTTAATAATACTGTACTGTATATTTGAAAACTGCTAAGAGAGTAGATCTTAATAGTTCTCATGGCAAGAAAAAAAAACTATGTGTGGTGATGGATGTTAACTAGACTTATTATGGTGGTCACTTTGCAATATATACATGTATCAAATCAACATGTTGTAGCTCTGAAATAAATATAATGTTACATGTCAATTATAAAAAAAAGACCATACTGACATTATATCCATTTTTTATTTTAATAGAAAAAGAAAAGCGATGAAACATTTCAAACATATAGAAAGGTATAACCAATAATAACATAGATACCTATTAGCCACCACTGAGATTAAAAAGATGTTACCTTTTTACCACATTTAAGACTTCTCTCTCTTTCAATTAAAGACATAATACAGATACAGATACAGCTAAAGTCCCAAGTCTATATCCTTTCCCCTCTCCCCATTACCATCCTGAAGTTGGTGTGTAACATTCCCATAATTTTTTTCACAGGGTAAAATGTGGATGTCCTGTCATACCTTTAGGTCCTGATTCTCCTCCATACTCTGATCCAGACGACTTTGGATTATAATCTGAATACAAGGCAAAAAGAGACTGCTATGAAATTCAGAGGGCATTCATTCAACAGATATTTACTGAGCACTTACTAGATGCTAGGACTGTACTGTGGATACAAAGAAAAACTGGAAACAGTCCCTGCCCTCCAGTGGAAGCATATGCCCAGGGTAGTGAAAGTGGATGAAACTGGGTAAAGTTTAGAGTGAATATGTGTGTGTGCTGGGTGCAGGGGGTTAGGCAAGGGGAAAGAGAAATGGCAAGAGATGAAGCTGGAGAGGAAACAGGGACCAGATCATGAAAGGCCATGAGGACGTCGGAGAATTGATGGAAAGTTTTAGGCAAAAGGATCACAAAATGAAGTTTGCACTGAAGGTAAATTATTCTTGCTGTTTTACAGAAAATAAATTAGAGGAGGGCAGGAGAGGAATCGGGAAAACCAGTTAAAAGGCTGTGACAATACTGAAGGCCTGAATTAAGGTAGTGGCTATGAGAAGGGAAAAAACTGGATGAATATATTTAAAAAGTAAACTGACAAAACTTGGTGACTAATTGGGTATAGAGGGAAGAGTCAATAGGACTCAAGGATGAGAGCCAGCCCTCATGGCCTAGTGGTTAAAGTTTGGCGCACTCCACTTTGGCAGCCTGAGGTCGGTTCCCAGGCGCGGAACCACACCACTTGCCTGTCAGTTGCCATGCTGTGGCGGTGGCTCACAGAGAAGAACTAGAAGGACCTACAACTAGAATATACAACTAGGTACTGGGGCTTTGGGGAAGGAAAAAAAAAGAGAGTGAGAGAGGAAGATTGGCAACAGATGTTGTTAGCTCAGGGAGAATCTTTCCCAGCAAAAAAAAAATAAATAAATTCAAGGATGATATTCAGATTTCTGTTCAGTATTTGAGTAGATGGATAGTGATAAGAAACAGAATCCAAAAGGACAAGCAGTTTTGGTGCCAGGAGAGAAGGGAGAGAAAAGCTGTTTAATTTAGGACTCATTGAAATTGAGATGCTCATGGGACATACAAGTGGAGATAATCGACCAGCAGTTGCATGCTGCATACATAAATCTAGCACTCCATAGACAGAGCTGAGCTAGAAATAAATATCTGAGAGGCAACATCTGAGTCGGGTGGGAAGTGAGTGGAGCTATGGAGGCAGATATTACCCAGGTGAATGAATAAGACAGAAGAAGGCCCAGAGTGGGACTCTGAGGAGCACCCACATTTAACACACAGGCAGAAAAAGAGAAGCTTCAAAGGGGACCTGAGTGTAAACTCTATGAGGATGGGGTCTTAGGTCTGTCTTGTCATTGGCACATCTCCAGCACCTTGCAACAGTGCCTGGCACACAGTCGGCACTCAATAAATATTTGTTGATGAAGGAAGGAAGGAAGGAGGGAGGGAGGGAAGGAAGGAAGGAGACAGAGAGAGAGAGACAAAGGGCAGTCAAAAATATATGAGGGAGCCAGCCCTGGTGGTCTAGCGGTTGAGATTCGGTGCTCTTACCACAACAGCCCGTGTTCATTTCCGGTTGTAGAACCACACCACCTATCTGTCAGTTGTCAGACTGTGGTGGTGGTTCACATAGAGAACTAAACTAACAACTAGGATACACAACCATGCATTAAAGCTTTAAAAAATAAATAAATGAAATAAATAGACACACACACATATATGAGGAAAACCAGGAGAGCTGGAGTCACAGAAGAGAGCATTTCTAGAAGGCGTGGACAACAGTGTCAAATGCTACAAATAAACCAAATACATAAACCAGATTATTTAGTGTCTAGTCACAAAAGAAGGAGCTCACCAATTGTTCCTCCGGATTGACTCCTGGTTCACAGAGGGCCAAGGGCCTCTCCTGTTCATCTTCAGGTAAGGATCCATTGAGCAGTAACGCCTGAATAACCACAACGGCAGAAAGAAACTTAACTCCCATCAGATGACAAAGGCTAGAGTTGGGCTTGGTAAACTCATCCCAAATCAAAATTACAACTGGGCTTCCTCTAGAAATCTCCTTGGTAATTTTTGATCCTTAGACACCTCCAATTGCTCATCTTGGGTCTATCTGGAGTTCCTTTTGTCGGGCCCATGCTCTAGGTCTCTTTTATATCTCCCGACATACCTGAATCCTCTGCTCTAAGGCTCCTGGGCCCCAGAAAAAAATCTAAAAATAAACTCCCCTTTCAGAAGTGACATTTCAAACCAGAGCTGTTCAAACTGAATTGTACCAGCTGGAAAGTGACTAAAAGCAGTGTAGCATTATCCTGGTTTATAAAAGTTTATTATAATGAATTATTTGGAATACATTTAGAGCACTGAGTTCAGTATTTTTGATTTTTGTTTTTTTAATAATTCTGCATTTTTACTCTCAAAAGCAACCTGGATAGAACAAGAAAGAAAATGTATTTGCAGAGAGATGTCTTCATTCATTTCAACTCTTCAGACTAGGCTTTGTTTTTATTAGAATATGGGGGTGAAGATTTACCCTGAAGCTAAGGCAGCTTAAGCCACAGAGCCCCCTCACATGTACTGTCCCTCCTAAGGTCTTATATCTAATATTGTGCTCCTAATCTGTAACGATACTCTTTGTTTTTTGTTTTTTGTTTTTTGTTTTTTTGCTGAGGAAGATTAGTCCTGAGCTAACATCTGTGCCAATCTTCCTCTACTTTATATGTGAGTTGCCACTACAGCATGGCTGACAAGTGGTGTAGGTCCACGCTCGGGATCCAAACCCACAAACCCAGGCCGCTGACGTGGAATGCCCCGCACTTAATATGCACGGGGCCAGCCCTGTAATCTCATTCTTAAAGAAGGCCTCCCAAATTGTATACTTTAGGACTCACAAAACTGGGATCTACCCTGGCAGGTAGGTATTAGGAGACCTATCGGCTCAGTGAAAGATTTTAAACTGTGTCCCCATTTTATATCACAATTTTTTCTCAATCCAACCAAAAGAGTTACAGAGGTTTAATCCCGTTTCAATAAATAAAACACAAATTACATCACAAATGTTGGTATATAAAAACATTTTAAAATCCAGCCACTGGTTGGTCTACCAAGCACTAGTTAGTAAAATTTTAGTAAATCAAATTAATTTAGTTATCCCACAGAGTTGTGACAAGAGGTATAGACAAGTATAAGAAGCCATAGGGCCACAGGGAGCCAAGAGAGGGCAACATTACAGCAATACTGACTCTACCGGCACAGTGTTCAACAGGCTCTAACTAATGCATACTAATAAGTCAGAAATCCTGGATGTGGCTTAGCATGCAACTTGTTCATCACTGAAAGAGTTAAGAAGCCCAGTGGATGCTGTGAGGCCCATTGTATTCTATAATGGAACCGAATTCTCATTGTGATCATGTGACTGTGAATTAAAACGCCTCTGTTTGCAGGGAATATTAGGATGCTGACTTTCTGCCTGTAGATTCTCTTCTTTTTCTGTCTAATCTGCCACCGGATTTCTCCCAGACTGAAAAATGCAAACCCAACTGAAAGCCAACTGATGGATATCTATGCTCATATAATGCAAATGATCCTGGGAAAAACCTGGTTGGGTGTAATCCCAAACTTCCCCATGCTTTCATACTTCCTATTAAAGGACAGCACAAAAAAAAAATTCCATTAATTAAACCATTCCTTAATGGTGTGGCAGAAAAGGGATCTAAAAGACAGACATTTCCAAAATACAGAGCAAATGGGGGAAAATCAACAACCCTCCTTGGGAATGTTTAGGCAGTAAACACTCCTCCAACCCTCCTCAGTGCCCGGGGCATACATTATGCAAATTGTTTTACCCCAGCACCAATCTCCTTTTCTCTTTGGGAACCCTTTGTGTCCCCACCCTGTTGCAGGCTGGCTGGGAGCACGCCCTCCACCGCCTGCCGGCTGCCAAAGCCACTCACATAATGTGGGCTTTGTTTATGTGTCCATAAATATTTGACAACTCAGAAGCAGTGCAGTTCCTAGCACAAAAAGAAAGGAAGATTCCTAGGCAATTTCAGGGTCATCTGAGCACTACAAGGGCTCCCCTAAACAGGGACAGACGCACAAAGACAGAGGCCTGGGGGGTCATTCAGGGTAGGAACTAAGTCAAGTGGGTCAGTCGGCCTCTGGGGGAGATTTGCCGAGCGGGCATTGAAGGTATAGGAAAAACTGAAGGGCTTTGTTGCTCAAGGGAAACCTCTTCTACCTGATCACTGTGGTCGGCATCCACTTGCAAAGGCAGTAGGAGTGAGCGAAATCCCTTCGCTAGACTCAAATGGAAACCTGCGGCATTACCGGCTCTTCCACCCTTCTGCTGAAGAGTTTCCAGGAGAGAATCCCTGACTATTCACAGTGCCATTCTTTGGTGAAAGCTGCAATGGCAGGTCTGCAGCTGCAGACAGCGGAGAAACCCATCTATGAAGCCGAGAACCAGAAGAAGGGTTTGATAGAGGTCAATAATGACTTCCAGGCTTGCAGAAATCCTAACAGCTGTGCTGTAAAAAGAGTCCATAAAGTTCACTCCAGAGCACTCGCATATAAGTAATTTTCTGCTCCTTCAGTACTACTCCCTCTATCTCAATTCCCCATTCAAATCTGACCTCACACACAACTCAGTCAGTTTATTTTCAACTGATATTAGTGGCTTAAGAATAATAACCAATTGGTGCACCAAAGACAAACTATAGGGAAAGAGCTACCTGTAATCCTGATATCATTTTCTTGGCTTCCTCCATTTCTTTTTCTAAATGTTCTTGTTGTTCCAACAGCTGTTCTTCCCATGAAGTCTCCAGATAGGCTCCTGGGCTGCCTGGTAGCCAGTCTCGGGATAATGGAGAGTCTGTCTCCTCTACAAAATGAAAGGAGGGAGCAGAGTTCATGTTGAAGAAAACTGAGTTTCCGGCAGAAAGCGTGCACAGTCCTCTGTGTTCACAAGTTCAGGTCACCTGCCTTCTGAACCTGTCCTCACGGCAGAAACTAGACTCTCCACCAGGGGGAGGTTGTGAGACATAAAGAACCAGCTATTAACTCCAGGCTCTCGGGAGCAACACTTACTTTGTTGAGGAAATCTATCCTTTGTAGAACCTTTAGGAAGCAGTAAGACTCCCTCCTTGGGAGTTTTGGTATGGGACACACACATGACTCTTAATTCTCTAGAACTGGCATTCCCAGAGCTTGATTCTGCCAGGTACCAAGAGGGGAGCTGCCAGGTGCAATGAAAACAAAATTCCTGTTGGTTGCTCTGGAGCTTCAGAAGGGAGACCTCAACTCAATATTCCTTTGGCCATTCTGTCATAACTGAACCCCTTTCACATTTAACATTGTGTAAGTCACACAGGAAACAAACCAGAAAAAGCAAACTTGCACAAATTGCTTAATCTCTCTCTGGTTTTGGGCTGGCCCCGTGGCTTAGCGGTTAAGTGCGCACGCTCCGCTGCTGGCGGCCCGGGGTTCAGATCCCGGGCGTGCACCTACGCACCGCTTCTCTGGCCATGCTGAGGCCACGTCCCACATACAGCAACTAGAAGGACGTGCAGCTATGAAATACAGCTATCTACTGGGGCTTTGGGGGGAAAATAAATAAATAAATGAAATCTTTAATCTCTCTCTGGTTTTATTTTTCTACCTCTACAGTCTCTTTGCTCTGATTTCATTCATAAGAATAAATATAATAAGCATAATCCCTCTGGGTTGTTATGAAGATGAAATGAGGTAACTTATGTGCAGGGCCCCGTGGTGCCTGCCCCAGAGCAAGCACTCAATAAATGCTTCCCCTCCCCCTCCCCAGGGTCCCAGGAGTCTCTGACTCAGTAACATGACTGACTCTTAAGCACTAATACCAGGGCTAGAGGGGGAGCAGAGCAAGGAAGAACTTAATTCCAGTTTTTCTTCTGAGGGCTTCGGTTTCATTACATCCCTTATAGGTGAATAAAACTCTATCTAAATCACATGCTTTGCTTCTTCTATGCTTCCCTCTATGTTTATGTAAGAAGGAGAGAGACTGAGACAGAGGAAGAAGTCGAAACAAAGGGAGCTCCGTGGTCCTTTCTGTAGCCCTCATTCCAAGCCTGCGGTAGACCTGCTCTCTTCTATAGGTTCTCACAGACACCTCAGCTCCTAATATATATACCTGGACCCAATTTAAGTTGGGAAATACTGAAATTATTTGTATAAATAGAAATAATAAAACTGTTTGTTTGACTAAGGCTTCTGACTGTTCCAAAGTCATTTTCTAATTCACAGGCAGCCAGCTGAGGAACAGCCTGTCTACGCTGCTGTGAGATTTTTGACAGCTAGGACATCAGAAGTGACATTCTGTAAGAGGATAACCACATGAGTTGGCTCCAAAGCATTAGAGCCCTCTAGAACTGACCCTGTATGCACAGACTATGCAGAAGGAGAAGGCCGGGGAGCTTATAGGTAGATAGTTAGGATCTCTAAACTCTTCAAGCTGAGGGCTGTTCCTTGAGCCAACAAGGCAGGCTGAGAAATAGTACCTGTTCTGTTCTCTATTCCTTCAGAGGAAATAATCACAAAATCTGCCTTCTCCTCCGACTGGGTTATAATGGATTCGCTCTTTGCACTACGGATAGGACTGGGTGAAGTCAGGCTGTGATTGAAGGAAAAGAAAGAGAAACAATTATTATGAACACTTGTTTAGAAGCCAAAACTTTCATAATTTATCCCAGAGAAATGTTCTTACTCATCTTACTCCTACTGCCTAGCCCAAGGCAGTAGGACCTGGCCCCTAATAAGGATACACATTTGTTGAATGAATGAATATGAACTTGTTAAATGAATGAAATGAATGTTCAATGAATGAAAGACCCACTCCTAGCAAGTCTTTTCCACAACAAGGCTGCCTTTAAGCCTAATTCATTGAGAAGAGATTGATCAGAAGGATGGGTAATCTAACATTTTAAACAACTCCAAGTTTGGTTTGGTTTGGTTTTCTTTTTACTTACCACCACCACCATGCTTAGGCCCAAGTTCAGACACTGATGAAGTATGTGTCTTAGTAGCTTTGGGAGCTGGAAGGAAAATCTATTTCCAATACTTTGACCTTTCACAGACACAAGCAATACCAGCAGAGTAATCATGGCAGATCAGCTCTGGGCTGATCCCAAAGGAGGGAGTGGTGTGGAGGCTGCCTCAGGGGGGAGAAATCACTGGAGAAATTGCTGGACAGTACCAGGCTGGGCAAAGGGGTAATGATATATCTAGAGAGCTAGGATTTGATAAGGAAAAGGATAAGGGGAAAAGACCTACTAGGGCATGGTAAAGGTTTACTTGATTTACTCCATCAAAGAGTTCTTTACATCTCTGCCACACTATTTTCAAATTGTCATCAGAAACCTCGCAATAATTCTTGAGTTCTGATGTAACTACTAGCCTTGGAAGGAACAGTTCAGATTTTTAGGGAAGTGCAATTTTAAATCTCCAGAACAACAGCACGTCCACAAGACAAGATGGGAATGTGAGGCTGATGCTTCCATCTGAAGGGCTCTTCTTCTTTGCACCGCACCTTGAGAACATCAGCACTGAAACAATCTCAGGGGCTGCGGGGTCTGCAGGCCCAGCTCCCTTTCAGGAATTCTTTCCAAATCCATCACCCGGACAACAGTGGAAGTGTCTAGGATTCAGTGACCCACTTAATGTGCCCCTGAAGTCTCCCAGGCTAATCCTCACAGCCGTGATCAGGAGTTAACATTTCGTCTTCCTAGAAACCAATAAAAACAAGAGCCAAGCACAGTGGAGGTAGCCAGAGATTTCAAAACCTCTGAAGCAGCCTGAGGACTAGTGTCTCATGCTCCTATTTGTCCAGAGTTCAAGGGCTTTGGTGGGAATGACCTCAACCAGTAATACATTGTCATCCTTATCAGAACCTCAGAAAAATTTCAAAGTTTTTTGCTTCTTCAAATTAAAGAAAGTCACTTAACCGTATGTGTAGATCTATAACCTGAACAGGCAAGAGGAGTGGAGAGTAGCAAGAAGTGGTCTTGAGAAAAGATAATTGCTTTACAGAACTCTCTTATCCATCTTTCACCACTTAGGCAATCTGACTTCCAGGCCAATGTGCATTAGCTGCTGGAAAAGCACTAGTCTAAGGGTACTATGTCATTTATAAGAAGAATAGATTTACGACTGTTCAGGCCTCAGCATTCGCCTTCTTACAGAAATGGGGATCCAAGGGCAGAGAGATGCCTGCAACAGCTGTTCCTCTTTGAGAAATAATAAGACAACACTTTCTTAGCCGACAAGGTGCTATGGTTGTCACGTTCCACTGCCTGCAATCAGCTGGACCACGTGTGAGACGAAGCGGGGAGTAGTGTGAACCTGGGATGCTGGAAAACTGCTTTCCCAAAAGCAGAGACGCATGCTCAGCTCCACCTTCTCCCTCCTAAGTGAGCTGTCTCCCATATAAGGGCAGAAGGAGGCGGATGTCTGCATATCCAACCCCACTGGGGGAGTGGCAGGGCAGCCAAAGGAAAACAACATTTCTCTTTCTTGAATTGAGGCTGCCAGTGTGTGAGGCCACAGAGAGGTAAGACCATGAAACTAGATGGCCAAGGCAAAGGATAGAGGACCTGAGGAAGAAAAATCCAGAGGCACAGGTCAGAGCAGGCATCTGGCCGCCTCCCCAAGAAGAGCCTTGTTGGATGAGGATGGTGCATTAAATCCTCTGCCTCAAGTCAGGGAAAACCATTTTAATGCTAATTAATTATATAATTTAGGCTCTCCCTGATTAGCTTAAAAGCCGTATTTTATAAGCAAGTAATCCCCCATTTGCCATCATAATCCTCTGAAGTCAGGGAACAACTGATTACAAATCAGGTCCCCACAGGTCTAACATCTCTCCAGTCAACTTATTAGACAAGCAACCCCCAGCTAAGACACTTCCAAATTAGAGTCAAATCAATTTTTTTTAAATGGGTAAGGGGCAATAAGAAAGAGTCCTGTTCCCTCCTGAAGAGCCCTCCCTTAGCAGAGACAAGACAGGGTGAAGTGCCACTCCTCCTTCCCCTATGCTGGCTCCAGCTTCTGAAACCCACTGTATTCTACAGTGATAATCCCAGGCCAGCAGCCTGTTCTCCCCAATATAGCGCCCCCGCCCATCCCTCTCTGTCTCTGGCCAACAGCATCCTCAGTCCTGGCCCTGCTCCCACCCATGCCCCCCACCTCCAAAGCCAAAGTGGCCTCAGCTCACCATTTGACTTGCGTCCCTCCCATGGTCCCCCTCCTGGCTCCGGCTTCAGCAAGCCTGCTTCCCTAGGTGAAGTGCGAGGCTGAGAGTCACAGCGCTCCCCAATTCGGGCATGTCTCCCCGCGCTGGGGCCCGAAGAACGACTCTACAGGCAGACCAACTACCAGAGCTGTCTGCCCCGATCGCGGGAGAGAGTAGGAAGAGCAGAGAGGCAGGCGTCTCGGCCCCAGGCACGGGGATGCTCCCGAGTCTGAGGCGCGCTGTCCCGGCAGCTCAGACACCGCAGCAGCCCGGCCTCGGCGGAAGCCGCCTCCCCTCGCGGGCTGCCGGTCCCTGGCAGCCGCATCGTGGTCTCCGCCGCCGCGCGGCTCCGGGCATGCTCCCGGGCGCAGGCATCTCAACCCATTTCCGACCGGGAGAAACGCTCCCCGCGGCTCCGGCTGCGCGGTCGAGTCCGGGGCGGCGAGCGTGCGGACGATCCCGGCTCCGCGCCGCCTCCCCGGTCCCTCCCTTCTCCTCCCCTCCGCCCCCTCCCAGGCTGTCACACGCGGCCAGGCAGCGCCGGGCTCGGACCCAGGCGGGCGCTCGGCGGGCCGGCCGAGCTCTGGGCAGTGGCAGGGCGAGGGCGGGGGGCACGGGCGGGGCCGGGCTGGGCGGCCGAGCGGGAGCACCGAGCCAGGCAAGGGAGGGGCCGCCGCTCCGCAGAATCCCGAGGATGGGTCTGTGGTCCTCGTCCTGAGAACCCCAGAACTGAAAACGTTGCCTTCTCTACTCTGACCCCCTCCCTTCGTAGACACCGAGGTCGGGGCAGGTCTCACCCAGCTCCTCGCGGGAGGGGGTCTCCCCCGGAAACCCGCCAACCGCCTATCTCCTCCCACCTTCCCCTCGGGCGTTTCATGTGTTCTTTTTTTCCCAACTAAGGATCATTTTGCTTGGATACAGTGAGAGGCTGGCCCGAGGTCTGCGAAGCAACAGGCGGGCAGGGCTTCGCCAGGGTGTCGCTCGAAGAGCAGGGGCAGAAGATTAAACACCAGCGGCCGTCTTTCCTATCTTCTGAGCCACTCCCCGTTCTTAGTCTCATCCCGGGGTCTCCTGGCTTCATGGGTCACTGAGCCATTAGGGGGGCTCCCCTTGAGGAAGGGGGTGGGTGGGCAGAATGTTCCAGAGCCTGCTGGGTCCCAGGGAGCTCACTGAGGAAAAGGCAGGGTGCTGACTGAGCATCCCAAAGAGGAGAGTGAGAGGTCGGCTTAGAAGAAAATGACAAAATCAGGAAGGAGTGAAAGAAAGGGAAATGCAAACTATTCTCTGACCCCTCTCCTAGAAAACTGTCACCGTCAGCCCACTGCAGCCTGATTTCCACTGGGTCCCTAATTCACACTGTCTCACAGCCCCTGCCCCAGTCTGTTCTGCCAGAGAGGAAGGAAGCAGGCTCTCTCAGGAAGAAATCCAGACCCCCCCCCCCCTCTCTCTCTCTCTCTCTCAACTCTGGCAGGCACCGAAGAGTGAAAGGCCTGTAGCCATGCTTGGCCTGTAGCCATGCAGGAAGCAATAGATAGCATAAAACGAAACATCTTTTGATTCTGTAACAATTGATGGTCTACGCAGCAAGCAAGCAAGAAATGGTTTAGATTCTCATTAAAAGCACACCTATTGCTTGGCAGGTACAGGGTTTCCTTTTGGGGTGATGAAAATGTCTTCAAACTGGATAGAGGTGATGGTTGCGCAACATTATGAAAGTACTAAATGCCACTGAATTGTACACTTTAAAATGATTAATGGTTAATTTTATGTTGTGTGAATTTTATAAATAAAAAAGCATATCGGGCTGGCCCCGTGGCTTAGCGGTTAACTGCGCACGCTCTGCTGCCGGCTGCCCGGGTTTGGAACCCCGGGTGCGCACCGACGCACCGCTCCTGCGGCCATGCTGAGGCCGCGTCCCACATACAGCAACTGGAAGGATGTGCAGCTATGACATACAACTATCTACTGGGGCTTTGGGGGAAAAATAAATAAATAAAATCTTTAAAAAAAAAAAAAGCATATCTATTAAATGTTAAAATTAAAGTTGAGTAAGGTTACCAGCATATTAAAATATTGGAAAGAATTCCAGGTGACCTCAATAAATTAGGTGGAATAATTAACTAATAAATAACTAACTAAATAATTAACTAAATTAGGTGGAATCAATAAACTAAGATGGAATTTTATGAGGAAAGGAAATAATAAGAGGGGCCAGCCCAGTGGTGTAGTGGTTAAGTTCGCAAGCTCTGCCTTGGTGGCCTGGGGTTCACAGGTTCAGATGCCGGGCGCAGACTGACGCACTGCTAAAAAAGCCATGCTGTGGCAGGCGTCCCACATATAAAGTAGAGGAAGATGGGCACAGATGTTAGCCCAGGGCAAATCTTCCTCAGCAAAAAGAGGAGAATTGGCAACAGATGTTAGCTCAGGGCTAATCTTCCTCACCAAAAAAAAAAGAGAAAGAGAAAAAAAGAGAGAATGAGAAAAAACCAAATACACATAAAATACATATGAGACAAGTAACAATTAGGCTTAACTAGAACAGACTAAGCTGGGTTGGGGTAGGAGAAAAAAGGTCATAAGAGCATAAATTAAATATGATGCAGCAATGAAATGAAGTTAGTAAATAAGCTAACATGATCTGGGGATGTGTTTATAGGAGCATGATTTACATGAGCCAGGAAAGCAGTCTTTTGCTGCCACTATACTTGGCATTGATCAGGCTTTCATTAGAGCACTGTGTCCTGTTTTGGTCTCTGCACTTGGCTGTAAGGGATATAGACAGCCTTTCAGCTAGACTCACAAACATCGTTACCCCACTCAAATGCATATCAATCTGCCACAATTCCCAGCCCTATAAATGAAAGTTGGAAACATTTTAATGCTCTCAGACCACGTTGCCCAATTTTTTCTCTTGCTATGAGCTTTATATGGGCCTTCTCAAGCCATAACTTAAGAGTTACACTCAGGCACAAAGACAGTGCAATAAAACTAGCTCTCAAAAACACTGGCTGCTGAGATGCACTGGGCGGGGCCCTGACAGGTCCCAGTCACGCCCCCATGTGGACACAGCTAAGCACTGGCCCTGGGGCTCTGCACAAAGCTTCCTTATGTGAGAAATTCACCAACACCCCACCCTATCCTCCTGCCAGCACAAAACCACAAGGCAGTGCTGAAGGCTCCCCTTTTAAAGCCAAACATATACTGAGGGAAAGAGAAAGGGTTTAGGAGCCTTATTGCCTGTTGTGTTGCTACTTGAAGCTGAGAAACCTGAGAATTCCCAAGAATTCAGCTTTTAGCCAGGACTGTAGTGGAAAGAATCTGAGGCCACAGTTACCTGGAGCAGCTGGACTCAGATGGGGACCTTTGCTGCCCTTCATACTGCTGCACCAGGGCGCGCACACTCCAGTAGGGATTCTCAATCTCCTCATCCATGCTGCTGTTCCTAAAGGCAGGGGGCGCCAGCAAAGGAGAGGGTGTCAGTCTTCCAGTTCAGGTCAACTCAGCAAGTACTGACAGACAGCCCCTCGGTGAGCGCTATGGAAATAGGATGAATAAGGCAGAGCCCCCCTGCCTTAAAGACACTTGAAAACCAGTAGGGAAGAGAGACGTAAAAACAAGTAACTTCACTAATCTTTGCAAGACCTCAGGGTCGTGCTCTCTCTCACCAGACACAACCCCCAAAGTGTTTCCTGCATGACTCTCCAGGACAGCTTGGCCTTTAGGATACATTCCAGGGAGAGACTCCCTGGATGTACTGGATCATTATTCCCACTATCTCCCCGTGAAGAAAACACACTGTGCCAAAGACGTATATTGAAAATTCTGGGTATCAGAGCAAAAAATTACATATGTGATTCCTTTACTTTCTGCTAATGGCAAAATAAACACCTCTTTAAAAAGGGTTTTTCTCTTTTGGAGCGCCCTCTCCAACCTCCACTCCATGCTCTTTTCTGCAATGTGGGCTGTTTAGGTGATCTTTCTAGCTACTGCGTCATTTAAGGGGAGAAATATCAGAGAGAGGGACAAGTTCCCATCCCTAGATTTCTACCCTTACCTCTGTCTGTATCGAAAGACATCCCGTCCCGACCGTGACACGTCATGACACACATCGGCCAGAGCAGCAGCTGCTCCCTGGGCCACGGCAGTGGCACAGTGTGGTTGGTGACTCTGCAGAGGGGCTCTGGAGTCCCGTCCTTGACTCACCGTCCTGCTAGAGCCAGGTTTGAAATGAGCTGCCAAGGCAAGGACCAGCCTCATGATAGACTTCAGGTTTCCTTCCACAATATCTGAGAGACAGAACAGACCGAGAGGTCCTAAGAAGGAGGCAGAGGCTGAGGACTTATTCATTTAATACATATTTGCTAGTGATACAGGTAAGCAAGGCAGTCTAGATCTCTGCCTTCACAAAGCCGTGTTCAACAGGGAGAAAGAAGATTTAAAAGCAATTACAATAAAGTACAGTAATGTGTTATGATGGGAGAAGAACAGGATTCTCTGGGAGCTCCGAGTAGAGACATCTTGTCTAGTCTAGAGGACTCAGGGAAGGATTCCTAGAGGAAGTGAATTCTAAACTGAGACTTGAATGACGAATAGTGGTTCATCAGATGAGGGAAGAGAGGGAAAAGAGCATTCCAAGAAGAGGGACCAGCAGGCCTGAAGGTCTAGAGGTGAGAGAGAACGTGAGATAGTAGAGTTGCCCTGTCCTATAGGGGAGCCGCTAGCCACACATGGCTACTGAGCACTTAAAAGGTAGCTACAGTCTGAATTGAAATGTGCTATAGGTGTAGTACTTACTTAGCACACACAAAAAAAATAGAATAAAAAAATCTCATTAGCCTTAGTACAAAAAATAGAAAGCAAAATATCTCATTAATAGTTTTTTATATTGATTACATGTTGAAATGATAATATTTTGGATATTTTGGGTTAAATAAAATATATTATTAAAATTAATTTCACCTGTTGCTTTTTCCTTTTTTTCAATGTGACTAATAGAAACTTTTAGGTCACATACATGATTCACACTATATTTCCATGGCACAGCACTGTGACAGGAGAACTGAAAGAAGTTCAGCAGAGGTAGTGCTCAGAGTGCAGGGAGAGAGGGGGAAAGACGAGGAGGGTGAATCAGAGGTCAGGTCAGAAAAGGCATGGTAAGCCACAGGAAGGACTGTGGACTTTATCCTAAGGGTCCCCAGATACAGAGGACTGGCATAAGGATATGTACTCTCAGAAAGATCATTCTGGCTGCAGTGTGGAGAGCAGACAGGAAGGGGACAAAAATTGATGCAGTGGGACTAATTAGGAAGCTATTACACTTCTTCAGGTAAAAGACAATGATGTCCTGAATGGCAATGTTCCCTCAAAATAACCAACTTTAATGGGCCAGATCCCCAAGCCCACTCCTCATGGGGACCAGATCAGAGATATTATTACATTCTAAATTTTGCCCTAGAAAAAAGGAGGAATGCAGGCAGAAGACACTGTGATAGGTCTGGTGAAAGTTAACGAAAGGAAATGGGTAATATTCTATTTTTTCAGTGTCATAGCCTTTTAAATATGCAAGGCTTTGAGAAGGATTGATTGATATCTTCTACAGGGCACTCTCAGGGTCAGTGTCTGCCCCAACACATAGAACACCAACAATCCAACATGAAAGGAGGGCTCCCTCCTGGCCCCATTCTCATCAAAGCCACGGGCAGTCAGGCCCAGAAATTGAGGCTGACACAGAACCAGATTACAATCCGTTCAAGAGAAACAGCGAGAGGACTCAGGAGCCTGTGCTCTCCAAGGACACCTACATGATTTCTTCCCTGTAGCCTGGGCTCAAAATGGACTGAGAAGTGTCCTCTTCTGGCCATGTGGCTATAGGAGAGGGCATGTACAGAGGTTACAGAGCCCCCTTCATCCTGCCTGGAATGTTCTGTGATGTCCAAAAAAAAATTCTGTAAAATATTTTCCTCCTGGAAAACTGCATGGAAAAAAATGTAGACTATTATGATTTGAAAGAATTCTTGGTCATGAAACCCTACTAACTTAAAAACCATAATCTACAGTAGTCCCCTCTTATCCATAGTTTCAGCTACCCGCAGTCAACCTCAGTCTGAAAATATTAAATGGAAAATTCCAGAAATAAACAATCCATAAGTTTTAAATTGCATGCAGTTCTGAGCAGTGTGATGAAATCTCACACCATCCCACTCTGTCCTGCCCAGGATGCTATGTCACAATATCTATGTCCTTCACCTCACTTCATCTCATCACGTAGGCACTGTATCATCTCACATCATCACAAGAAGAAGAAGGGTGAGTACAGTACAATAAGCTATTTTGAGAGAGAGAGAAATCACATTCACATAACTTCTATTACAGTATATTGTTATAACTGTTCTATTTTATTATTAGTTATTGTTCTTAATCTCTTACTGTGCCTAATTTATAAATTAAACTTTATCACAGGTATGTATGTATAGGAAAAATCATAGTAGATATAGGGTTCGGTACTCTCCGCAGTTTCAGGCATCCACTGGGGGTCTTGAAACGTATTCCCTGCCGATAAGGGGGACTATTATATCTTCATTTTTGATAACTTAAATGAGACATTCTAAAATTAAAATCCCAATTTTGTAACCTCTTCTCTATTAATTTTCCTATACACACTCAAGCAAAACTTTATTCAATTAAAATGAATACAGAACTTCTATCTCCACCCAGGTTTCCAAGCACTCAGATTTTGATAATCACTCCATCCCAAGATGATAACTTTCTTTACGGAAAAATGATAGGAGGTTATGGGTCTAATCTTGATCCTGTCTACCCAGAACCTTCAGCTACACAACCGATGGTTCTTCTGAGGGTAGCAATCACCAGTCAAAGCTGAGTATACTCATATTGTATGGTGACGGATAAAAACTAGACTATTGGGGCTGAGCACGATGCAGTCTATACAGAAACTGATATATAATAATGTGCAACTGAAATTACACAATGTTATAAACCAATATGACCTCAACAAAATAATTTTTTAAAAAAAGAATATTTATAACCTTTAGCCGAAGTCTGGTGCATACGAATCTTTTTGGAGGCCACAAACTGTAGCACTTTCTCCACATTATTCTTCATCTCCTGTTGGTTACTGGGACTCAGCTGTACCCCACTCAGCTTTTCTCCTGCTGTTAGAAGAGAGAAAATATATGAAGTTATAGGAAGAAATATTATCAAAGTTTTACAGTATTGAGATAGAGAGAAAGGGAATATTTGCTGTAAACACTAAGATTATATATAAATATGCAAGTGAGTTAAGCCTTGGTGTTTGTAATTTGGATGAGGAATAGGAAAATTAAAGCCTTTTGGAGGACCTTCAAATTTTCACAACTACTCCCAGTGGCCTCTGAAGTTACTGTGTGGACATTTCTTCATTCAACAATATTCATCAAGCACCCATTGTGTGCCAGGCACTGTTCTGGGCACCAGAGAAACAGCAGTGAACAAGACAGACAAAGTCCCTTCCATCATAGAGTTTATATCTGTAGGGATGACAGATGACTAAGTTAACAAGTACATGTTTAACATAATTTCAGGTAGTGATAAGTGCCATGTGGAAAAACAAAGAGTGATCGTGGCCTCTCTGATAATACATTTGAACAGAGATTTGAATAAAGTAAGAGATGTTAAGATTTGAGGAGGAAGCATTCCAGACTGAGGAACCACAGGTACGAACTCCAAAGTGAGAATGAGCTCAGCTTATCTGAGGAACAGCAATGAGACCAGTGCGGCTGGAGGGAGCGAGGAGTCGAGTCCTAGGAGGAGTCGAGTCCTAGGAGAAGGTAGAGAGGTAAGCAAGGCCAGGTCACGTAAGGTTCTGTGGACCAGAGTAACGAGCCTGAATCTTCTTCCACGTGTAATGGGCAGTCAACGGAGAGTCTGAGGCAAAGGAGTTACATGATTTGATATATGTTTCTAAAAGTTGACTCTGTGTGGACATAGATTATGTGGAGAGGAAATTAGTTTGAGAGGGAGATTAGTTAGGCCACTAAGGAGATTAGTTAGAAAGAAAATGAAAATAGTCAAGGCAAGAGATAATGATGGTTTGGGCTAGAGTGGAAGAGGCTGACAGGTGAGAAGTCAGATATCAGGTAAGTTTTTTGCTTCTATCCCCCCAAATCTAGAAGAATACAAGTCAGTCCTCTTTTAAGTCAATAGAGGCTCTTTGTTAGATGATCCCTTTTTTTTTTTATTATTTTTTATTTATTTATTTGTTTGTTTGTTTGTTTGTTTATATACTTTTTTGGTGAGGAAGATTGGCCCTGAGCTAACATCTGTGCCAATCTTCCTCTATTTCTGTATGTGGGTCGCTGCCACAGCATGGCTTGATGAGTGGTGTAGGTCTGTGCCCGAGATCTGAACCTGCAAACCCTGGGCCGTGGAAGTGGAGCACGCAAACCCAACCACTATGACACTAGGCCAGCCCTCTATTCTATTTTTTTAATTAATTTTTCTATTGAGACAACATTGGTTTATAACATTATATAAATATCAAGTGTACCAAGGTACAGGTAAATACTTAATATAAAGCAGACAGCACGTGTGAAGGACCAGATATGATGTATGAGAAAAAGAGAATAATTAAGGATGGCTTATAAGTGTTCTGCTTTAACAGCTGGGTGAACAGTACTATGCTGTGTTACTTACACGAAGAAACCTGGAGGAAAAGGGATTCGTGGGGAGAAAGAAATCAAAAGTTCTGAGTAGGATATGTGAAGTCAGAGCTGCATTGTAGACATCCAAGGAGAGATGGTGACTAGGAAGCTGATAGAACTCGAGGAAAAGTTTAGGGCTAAGGATACAAATTTGGGAAGAAGTCACTTAGGGATAGAGAATACACAAAGGCAGGACTGACCCTGGAGAACTTCAACATGCAGAGGTCAGGATGAAGGAGAAGAGCCAGCAAAGCACACAGGAGGAGCCAGTGAGGAAGGGGGCAAACAGAACCACAGGGTTCTGGGAGCCACATAAAGGAAGTGTCTGAAGGAGGAGGGAGTGATCACCTGTGTCAAGTTCAGCTAAACTGAATACAATGAGGACTGAGGCCTGGCCACTGGATCTGACAAGGCAGAGGCTGTGACCTGGAGGAGAGCTGTTTCAGTGGAGTAGTGGGATCAAAAACCTGATGAGGGTGGGGTAAAGAGAGAATGGAAAATAAGCTAGTGAATTCAGTGAGTTTTTTAATATAGCAAAGTCACAACAGAATCCAGTGTTTAAGAATGTACGTTTTGCTTCAACTAAAAAAAAGAAAGAAAGAAAGAAAAAAAGAATTTGGGTTTTGGGAGAACAAGAATACATATTTATATTACTTCTATATGCACAGAATATCTCAGGCAGGAAAGAATGCAGGAAACTACTAACACTGGTTGCCTCCAGAAAGAACAGGGAGCTGGCGGGGGAACATAAGTGGAAAAGAGGCTTTTGAGTTAATATCCTTTTGTACCTTCTGGATTTTCCACGTGATTATATTTTCAAGTACAATCTATTCAAATAAATGAAAAATGAAATGTTTAAAATGACCTTTGGAATTAAAGCAGATCTAGGTTTGTACCTCTGCTTTGCCACTTTCAGTTATGTGACCTTGTAAAGTTGCTTAGCCTTTCTAAACATCATAAAGCAAGTAAGATAGTAGTACTCATATCACACCCATATCATAAATCAATCAAAGTAGCATGCTTAGCACAATGCTTGATAAATTCTAAGTGCTCAATGAATTTATTTCTTTATTTTTATAAATCTTCTCTTTTAAGCTTGTTTTGTAAAAATAGGGATAATATTATCTGTTTCTTAAGGCTTGATGATTAAATGAAATGAAATTAAGTGAAATAGAAAGCATTCAATAAATGGCAGCTGCTATTGCTATTACCATTGTTATTTTCATTGTAAATGAATGCTCTGATGAGTCCATGAGCTGTCCAAATGAGGTACTCATGGATAGGCTGCCGGTAGCAAGCCTGGCTTCTTCCATACCACTTGCAAGCGCCACATCCCTCAAGGACTCTAAGCAAGGTCAGCTGACTAATATAACAATAAATGTTTGAGTAACTATTATGTGCCAGGCACTTGGGTAGGAGCTGTAGAAACAAAAAAAATTATACTGTACCTGCTCTTAAAGAACTCAGTCTATATAAGAGAGATAGGTAAATAATTACCATCTGGTGAATGGTAATAATATTATAATTACAGAGCCATGGAAAATGCAATGGAAATTAAGGTTATGGAACCATCTAATAAGAATGACTGGCAACAACTCCAGGGCTTCAAGAGGACAAGCCGTTTCATGAAGCACTATGGTAGTGAATACTACAGAGGGCTCCTTTTGCTGGTAACATACCTTCTTTTTGCCTGGCTACTACTTCCTTTTCCAGCCTTGGTTTAGACATCAATTCTTTTGGCAAGCCATCCCTGAAACCCTAAGACTGGGTTGGGTGTCCCCCCAGGTGCTCCTATCTGTACCTACCCCATTAGAGTATAAATACATTAATGGAATTAAATTCACTTTCCAGCCTTTCCAACTAGATTGGGAGATTCTTGAGCATAGACTGTGCTCATTCTCATATTCCCAAAGCATAATACAGTGTCTGGCACACAGTGTTTACTGACTAATAAATCAATGAATTAACCCTGGGCAAGTATCTTAAGTCTACTCTACTTCCATTTCCATATATTTTAAAGATGAAGCGATCTGCTCTGAAGGGCATATGGATGATAAAGAAGGCCATGTTCTGATTTAAGCTAGCATCAGAGTCCAGGGCCAACTGACCAACAATTTCGATGAGATATGCCAGGATCACCCCATCCCGAAGATCCTGTCGCAAGTCCTGCACAGGCTTCACCGCTGGCCTCTTCTTCAGCTGTGCGTTCACCCAGGCCACATATGCCTGCAGCTGTTGCTGGAAAAGAAAAGGTGGAAATAAGGGAAAGGTTGCATATTATTCTTATCATCTACCCTGCACCCTCTAAGGCAGCATTTGAGATTGGGCTACGGTGGGCAATCTACATCCAGAGGGAGGAGAAGGAGGTTTTAAGTCAAGAAAGAAGAAAGATGGTCAGACATGGAATATGTTCTAAAATTCTCTAATTTGATGCCAGTCTCCAGGGATAAGCTAACCTCTGACTTGGGTGTTTCAATGACTATGAGACCTACTTTCCTTGAGTTTTGCTCTGTTGACCAAGGATGAGGGCCGGGCCCAGAATCACAGCCAGTTTTTGGATATAATCACTGCTGCCAGCAACCCATCGTGCATCTCAGGAACAAGCACTCATGTCCCGTATGCACAATGGACTGTGAGACTCATGAGAATTGATCTTGGGGAACTGGGAATAAACAGCAAACCAGGCTCAGAACCGCCTCTCCCATTTCTGCTTTCTTCACAATGAGATTTAACTGAAATCATCTCACAGTCAACCCAGTATTTATTCTCTCGAGCCCATAATCCTGGGATTGCTACAGAGTTAGTTTTAATCTTTGCTTTATATTGTCAAAGAGGATCAAATTACCTAAAACCTGCACAAAAAAGGAAAAAGAAAGGCTATGGTGAGCAGAGTTCCTGAAGGCTGGGGGGAAGGAGGAGTACTTTCATTTATTTTCAGACAAAGCTAGGGCCCAGTATCACCAGAAGCCTCTTAGGCCCAGACAGGGACATATATAACTCAACCCAACCCTCAGATAACCTTACATATTCCATTTTGTCCCTTAAACAGAGCTTGTATTCAGTGTTTATTCTAATTATTTGTTCTGAAGATGGGCACTAAATATCAAAATAGCACATGAACAATGTCATAGTACAGGTAGCAGCTCTGTCTAGTTTCTGTAGAAGCCCAAGACTCTGAACCTAAAAATTAAGTTCAAGGGCTAATGGTATTAAATTATAATTTGGTTAAAGTACAGTTGATTTCTAAGCCCCAAGTACTTCCTTAATGAAATGATGTTGGAAATTACTGACTGGCTGCTTCCTGAGCTTAAATTAAATCTTCTTTATTTTCTCTCTCTCTGTCAATTTGTAAGGATAAATCAAGTCCTTTGGAAGACAGTACTAAGGCAATAATCTATCAGCTACTGATAAACTGTAGGAAGTGCAACGATCAGCAGGAGGTGGGGGGAGGAATCTAATATTTATTGAGCACCTACCATGAACTAAACACATTTTTAGTGTTTTATATATGTTTTAATGAGTTAATGAACTAAACACCATTTTTAGTGTTTTATATATGTTTTAATGAGTTAATGAACTAAACACCATTTTTAGTATTTTATACATGTTTTAATGAGTTAATGAGTGTAACTGGAACAGACCTGCCACACAAATTATGCTTACTAAATGGGTCATTATTATTTTCATCATTATCATCATCTAATTCAATTCTCACAAAAGCACTGAAGGGTTGGCATCATCTCCGTTCTATGAATGAGGTTCAGAGAGGTTATGTAACTTCTCCAATGTCCCCATAGCTAGGACATTGCAGACCTGGTAATGAAACCCAGTAAATGTGGTCCAAGCTTTTACCAAGGGCCTCTTGCTATCCAACTCACTCCATAGAATAGAGGTGGCTGCACCTTCTGCCTAACATGGGCCAGATTCTCATCCAAGGTCTGCTCCCACTGCACAGCCAAAGCACTGTGTGAGGCAGACCAGGTAAAGGGTGCCTCCACAGTAAACCACTCTGCTCTGGGGGAAAGGAGTTAAGACCAGAAAAGGCATTAAGGGTAACAGCTGGGATCTGATTACCTGGCTTATGTATAAAACTCCTATCCAGTCTCCCTATATCTAATATCACTCTCAACCCACCCTCCACACATTCCTATTTAAAATCCTTCACTGACCTCTCATTATCCTCAAGATAAAACCCAATCTCCTTAGCTGCATTTAAGTCTGTCATGTGCTAGCCCTTGCCTCTTCTCCAGCTTCACTCACTTCTCTTCCATTTGCCCTTCTATGTTTCAGTTCGTCCAAACCACATGCAGTGCCCCAAATGCACCACACTTTCCAGCCACTCTACCTCCGCCTGCCTGCCACCTCCTCTTAAGTCTCAGCTCAAGCATCACCTTTTCCAGGAAGCCTTCCCTGACTGTCCCACACACCTCAGACTCTGATCTCCTTGAGGACATCCTGTGTCACACAATCAGTTTAACTATAATTTGTTTTTTGTTTTTTGTTTTTTTTTTAAATTTTATTTATTTTATTTTTTGCCCCCAAAGCCCCAGTAGATAGTTGTATGTCATAGCTGCACACCCTTCTAGTTGCTGTATGTGGGACTCGGCCCCAGGATGGACAGAGAAGTGGTGCCTCAATGCGCACCCGGGATCCGAACCCGGGCTGCCAGCATCGCAGCGCGCGCACTTAACCACCAAGCCACAGGGCCGGCCCAGTTTAACTATAATTTGAGTGCAAGCACTATACTGAGTTATGAGGCTACAAAGAGCCTTATGCATTCAAGAAGCCTGCAGGAAGAAAAGGGAAGAGAGGAAGAGGAGGAGAAGCTTGCAGGCTAGTAGAGACAAGCACTATGACAGAGGTGCAGAGGATGCTAACAAAGTATTAACCCAACCTGAAACCCACGCTTCAGAGGTGTTTCCTGAAGGAGGAAAGGAGGCAAAGAGGACAGTGAGCTCAAAGGAGCTCAGGTCTGAATGATGCTCTATGCAGAGTTACAACAGTTCAGAACTATTAGACTCTCAGAGTAACAGGTTCTCAATATATATTTGTTTGAATCAGTGAATCATTTGTCACATTTCATCAGGCCGAGACTTAAAATGATTGCAAAAGTTAATTATGCAGGGGCAGACAGGAACAAGTACTTTTCATTAGGCCAAGATTATTTCCACTTAAATAACCATGGCCTTCTTTTGGCTGTTGAATAGAAGTAAGTCGTCTCTGATGCAAAACTGATTAGGGGTTCCTGACAGTACTTTTCATGCACATTAATCACAGCTCTGGTCTTCCAACAAAAGAGGATTCTACAGCATAAACGATAATAATAGTCACTACTTTTCTGAATTATCTACTCTGTGTCAAGAGCTATGCTAGGTCCTTTAAACACATTTCCTCTAATGCTAATCTGCCAGGGAGATTTTATTGTATTTATTTTGCTAATTGGAAACTGAGACTTAAAAAAAGGTGAAATAACTCGTTCAAGGTCACCCAGATAGTAACCTATGAATATGAGATTCACTTTAGCTCCCAAGCCAATGCTCTTTCCACTCTACTACACTAAATAAATGCATCCCTGAGGTTTAAATTACCTCACTAAAACTCTCAGAATGGAAGTCACCTTAGGCTAGACCACTTCCTCCAGCACATCCAATGCTTGAGTCTCGGGTGTAGTAATCTACACTAAGCTAAGTAGCTGTCTCTTACTCCAAGTGTGGTCCCTGGACCAGCAGCATCAGCATCACCTGGGAGCCAGTTAGAACTAGACTCTCAAGCGCACCCCAGCCCTACTGATGCAGAACCTGTATTTTCAAAAGATCCCCTGGTGTTTCATATCACTGTTCCCATACCTGGCTGCATATCAAGATCACAAGCAAAGCTCTTCAAAAAGACAGATATGCAGACCTTACTTCAAATCCGCCAAACTCTCTCCAGGGGGTAGAACTCAGAAAGCTTTATATTCCCAAACTCCCCCACATGATTCTTGTAGAGCTAACTTGAGTCTTCTAGCTACACATTCCAGTCCCCTTAACAAAGGGACTCTCAACCCTGATTACCCATCATAATTACTTGGGAACTTTTAAAAAACACTAATGTCTAGGCCCCACCATAGAATGGTCAGAATTTCTGAGGGTGGGGCCCAGGTATATCAATATTCCGTAAGTGCTCCCAGGTACATCCAGAGTTGCAAGCCAAAGTTAACCATTCCTTACATTAAATGGTTCAAGTATTACTGATCTTCCTGTCTAAATCTCTCTGAAACCATGACATCTAGAACCTAATACAATATTCTGGGTGTAAAAGGAGACATGCAGATTCCTCATTCAAGATATTTCTCTTTCTTTTCTTTCCTTTTTCTTCCTTTCTTTCTTTCTTTCCTTCCTTCCTTGGCCACCAGAACACAGTGTTCATCTACAGTAGGGGGTTATTCAAAATACCAAAGTATTATGTTTTTATTTTATTAAATGTTCATTTTGAAATAATTTCAGACTTACAGAAAAGTGGCAAAAATGGTACAAAGAGTTCCCCTATACCCATTACCCAGCTTCCCCAAATGTTTACATCCTACATAACCACAGCACAATGATCAAAACAGGAAATCAACACTGACACAACAGCATTAACCCATCTACAGATCTTTTTCAAATTTCATCAATTGTCCCACTAATGTCCTTTTTCTGGTCCAGGATCCAATCCAAGATCTCTCACTGCATTTACCTGTCATGTCTCTCTAGTCTCCTCCAATCTGGGACAGCTGCTAAGTCTTTCTTTGTCTTTCATGATCTTGACAATTTTGAGAATATTGGCCAGTTATTTTGTAGAGTGTCCCTCAATTTGGGTTTGTCTTAAGTTTCCTAATGATTAAATTCAGGTTATGGATTTTTGGCAAGAATTATTGGATTTTTTATGACTACCACAGAAGTCACACTGTGTCCTTCTCAGTGCATCATATCAAAAGGTACATGATGGCACTACATCTCATTATTGGTGAAGTTAACTGTGATCACTTGGTCAAGTTAGTGTCTGCCAGTTTCTCTCCTGTAAAGTTGGCCGTTTTTCCCTTTGTAATCAACAAGCATCTGGTGGGAAGATGCTTTGAGACTATGAAAATATCCTTTTTCTCATCATCATTTTTCCTATCCATTTTAAATTGAACATCCATTGATTTTTCTTTCCTGCAACAATTATTATTACGGTGTTTCCCAAATGATGATTTTCTAATTCCATCATTCCTTCTACAA